AGACAATACAGTAAGGAGATACATACTACAACAGTTCACGGCAAAAGAAATTCTCTAACTCATTCACCCGTCTTCTTCATCAAGCTACATAACACTTACACTTTTCTACTCAGTCTCCCTTACCGCTTTCTCCCACATACACAAGAAGAAATCACATTTCTTTTCATCTTAACAACTTCAAGCAAGGACTGCAAGAACTTTATCGATCATATAAGCTAAGAAAAATTTAGTTGTAATAAACATGAAAATAAAAATATTCTACATTTGTTATATTTAAAATCTTTCTCGTCTTTTTCTTTGTTATGGGTTGATTCAAATCCGCAACAGAATGAAAACACTTTTTCTTATTTCACTTCAAGCAAGGCAATAAAGTCACTAAAATGTAAGGGGTGGGGTTACTAAGTGTTAGAGAGTATGAGAAAAATACTATTAAAGAGAGAGAACTATTAAATAAAAGAACAGGAATTAAGAAATTTAAATTTTAAAAGGTCAAAGTTGACTTGGAAGAAACCGGAAAAAAGTTAGTTCCACAAGCGAGAAGTGCAATAGAAGAAACTGTTAGCATAGAACTTAAGGTTGCATCTAGCGATTTCAACTGTAAAATGATGAGACCTTGCCACCAACCTAGTACTGCGTTTAAATTCATAAAGTCTAGGTTCCATAAAGGAAAGTTTATCAGAACAATTCAAAAGATTTTTAAAAGAGAAATGAACGTCCAGAACCATCTCCGTATCATCTATAATCGGAATGAATTTGTGAGTATATTAGACTGACTTAGAATATATTATTATATTTTAAATTTATTAGAATATATTAGACATATGTTAGGGGTGGGCACACATTAAATGATACGTTTTATAGGAAATTAATGAAACGCTTTTCAAAATGTTAAATAAGAAATTTATTTAGTTGAGATAGGCACCATGTTGATGAATGACTGATCTTCAACGAACACCTAAATTCTTGATTCCAACTAAAAAAAAAATTCTCATTCTTTGATGTGATAAACAGTTTAAATGCTTTGATTACGTCTTCCTTGTCGGAGAATGTTTTATCGCGTATGAAAAGCTCAAAATGCTTAAATAAGTGACAATCAGTAGGAAAGATATCGGGTGAATATGGAGGATGAGGCAAAATTTCATAATTCAAGTAATGCGGCTTTTGGGAAGCGTGCGGTCGCGCGTTGTCGTGCAGCAAAATTGGGCCATCCCTATTCACAAGTCTAGGGTATTTCTTTTTTCAATTTTTCATGCATATACTTAATGTCGCCACAATACAAGGTTGTTCTCATTGTTTTCCCTTGAGGCAAGCCCTTTTGAAAGACTACCACACAGTAACCATTAACATTTTAGGGTGCAGTTGAGGCTTTTGGTATTGTTTTGGTGATTCACTGGCATCTAAGCTCTGGCCTACTCTCTTACTGCTGTCAAAGAGTATCCATTTTTTATCGCATGTAATGATTCAATAGAAAAATGGTTCTTTTCCCCAGTTTGTACTCATACAGTATGATTACTCGACATTGTTGCATTGTAATATTTATATTGGGCTTATAAGTAACAATATATTGAAAGAAAAATTATCTGGAAAAAAGAGTCAAGAATAAGTCAAGATTATTTTTATAGACTAAGGAAGTTACTTCGTTAGATGATCGGATCAACCATCAACCAAAAAAATGCGTCATTTCATGTGTGACAACCTGTCGTGCTTCTTGCATTTTTCTATACAATGTAGCGGTATTGACGGCCTAAATCAACCCGTACAATTTTACTTTACGAATGTGTAAGCAAATGCAAAAAACAACAAGAGAAATAATCAAGAAGACAGAATTTGCTCAACAAGAAATCTTACTTATTATAAAACGCAGATTGTGTGTGTACGTTTATATGTTGGATCGGATTTCCTACATGTTTCAACCGATTTCAACAAAACTTCACAGGACTGCGTAAAATTACATTGCGGTGGTTCTGACAGCGCCAAAAATTAAAAAAAACACAATTGTTTTTGCACGGAACCAATTTGAAAACACGATAAAACACAATTCTGTCGCCAGAATGAAAGGGGGACAACTCATATCGAGTTATACTTATTATAAAACCCAGGTTGTTTGTATGTGTTCGTTTATATATGGGATCGGATTTCCTACATTTTTCAACCGATTTCAACAAAACTTCACTTTTTTTGGCAGGTAGTGTTTCTTGTTGTCTTGCACACTTTTTTCTTTATTTTTACAATTATTACAAGACAATTGTTTATAATAAAATTGAAAAATTCTATTCAATCGGTAGACTCATAACGATTGAAAACAATGTTTTTGTTTGAGTTTGGATTTGACCAATTCGTAAAAAAAAAAAAAAAAAAAAAAAACTAATTAAGACATGCGTGTCCGTCAACCTTAAACAATAATCTTTGTCAATTTTATTTTTTAGTCTTTATGATGGTCGATACTTGATCTATCTCTTACTGTTACATCCCCGGGCTCTACTGCTAGTATGTATTAAACAACAAATTTTTACAAGTGACAAAGACATCAACATTTGTGTTTGTGTGTGAACGTAAAGAGTTTGTATTTTGGTGAATGTTCGTACATACGTCTATGTGTGTTTATGTTCACGGCATCTCCCACAAATGGGAAGACACTATCTTCTGCGAGAGCTAACATTGTAGATCTGTTCGCTAAACGAGGCAAGAAGTCGCCCAGTATTTATAGTGTAGGAAGAGCGACCCCTAGTGAACAATTAGGGAATTAAGGAGGAGCTAACTCCGACAAGATACACATACTAAAGAAATGAACTAAAGGAAAACGCTTATTGTTATTCTATCATTAGATTTAATAAGTTAGTTAAAAAAAAAAGAAAACTTTTCAATTAAAAAATTTATATTTCATGAAATTTGTCTAAAATATTTTAATCATAAAGTATTATTAAAATTATAACAAGAAAACACTAAAAAAAAATAAGATTTGTTTGGCAATTGTTATCTAAATAATTAAATTTCCGAATTTACAGCTAAAAAAAATCACTATACAACTGTCTAAAATTGAAAGAAATAATAAAGTATTTGGTAGATTACTTGCTGTTTGTCTCCTCACTTTTTTAACAGGGCCGCCGCTAGGCTCTCGCACCCCCTGAAACTTTGATACGTCCCCCTCTTTACTACATACCACAAATCCTCGTAGGAAAATAGGAGAGCAATGATTTCTTTAAATTACCAAATATCAGAGAATTACCCAATTTAAATGAAAATTTCAGCACATATTCACTATTTACTTTTATAATGAATAGTTTGTTTTTTTATTTAAAAATATCTGAAAAAATGTTATTCTTTTTGTAACAACCACCAATATTTTCATAACTAAATTTTACTCGAAAAAGAAATGTTTAAGTCGCATGATTTTACATTTCTATAAAGATTAATTTAATGGCTGACGCATCTCCACCGAAAAAGATTTTTTTTACAAAGATTCCAACACAACATAAACGGGATTGCCTTAAAAAAATTGTTTTAAAAACTATTTCAGTTTTCGGAAAATTTTTCATGCGTTGAAATCTTTAAAAAATTTTATTTTTTAAGCGATCATTTTCTCGGTTTTATCTTTCTAGAAATGTAAAAAAAAATAGGGACTAGAAATTTTATTTTAATTACTAGCCATGGACTTCTAGTTAGAATTACTATTTAAAAAAAATCAATGGATCCTTAGTGGATGATCTCGGAATAAAACATGATTTTACCAAGATATATTACCTTCTTAATTGATTTAAAAGAACTGTTCAGAAAGAAGATTACACTTAAAAAGTAAGTGCTATTGAAATTAGCACTTCTGACACCCCCCGCCCCAGTAGGCATGGTGCCCCCACGCGGTTGAGAGGTACATGGGGTAGTAAGCCTTGTCGATTATTATAACTGATGATTGACAATATAACTTAGGTAGAAATAAGTACAAAAAGCAAAAATCGCTGCTGAAACCAGCCCTTTTGGTGCTCCGACCTTATCAGGGGTTCCTGCGTAGTACGCACCGCACCGGCCATACAATGTACGGAGTGGTCTGAAAGTCTCCCTATCAAAAAGTAACGAGAATAGAAGAACAAGTAATAATACAATGCTCATGTACTGGATTCAGTTTATTCACTTTCATTGACACTGTCACACATCAAGAAGGTCTGTATGAACATCATCATCTTCGTGGCACAAAAAAAAATATGATGCAGTGCCATGATGTCCTGTGTGATATTTTACGAAGCTGTGCTTTGTTGATTGTTGTAAAGGCTCTCCGAATGAAACCCTTCAAGTAATGGGTATTCAGATATCGTTCATGTGAAACGCTCTCCACAGAAAGCGTTAAAATTTATATTATGTAGGGTGACAAGATTTTCAGACCACCCTGTATAGTATTAGTTGGTGACTGACAATGTAACGTCAGTTTAAAAATAATAAAAATAAAAAGCGGACGACCATAAAAGTAAAACAGAGCTGAAAAAAAAATGGTAGAGGCCACAGCGGGGCCCCTAAAAATGCGCCCCCCGGGTCGGGTGTAAGCTCTTCAGGATCTCCTGTGCCAAATTCTCTAAGCACTCTTTCCTCAATGTGTCCCAGAAATTCAAACTACTTTTTTTTTTTTTAATCCTAAACAGAAGTATATTTTTGTTTCCATTTTTCTTAAAACTTCATTGTTACTCACATGTTCCGGCCATGGTATTCTCTTGAGTTTAAAACGGTAACCACATCTGTTACCTCAAATCTTCTCTTCCTTTGTGAAATCTGGTGTAAAAAATTCACAAGCTCAGTAGTAGTAACAGTGGGTGTAAAAAAAGTTTTATATTTAATTTTAAGATTCTTTGATTTTTTTTTTCTGATTTTATGTCCATGGAAACTTAATTATGGTCTAATTGATTTATTATTTATTTCTTTAACTGTCAAACAATGATATTACAAGGGAAGTAATTCAGTCATTTTCTTTTTTTAAATATATCGTAAGGGGCCCGCCGGTTCAATTGTAAAACAAAATGGCGTTCCTATCAGGTGAATATCAATGGAACACAGAATTATGGGCACATGGACCAAGTCCAGGAAAATTTTACAACTTTCCTGGTACTTCTCAAGAATCCGACCAGTCTGATATTGTCAAACGTACATTGTAAGTATCTTAGTATTTTCCATTGTCGTTAACGTTTCATGTTTATTTCCATAAACTCGTCACTGGACAATGGACGTTGTCGTGATGCCATGACACAGCATATTAAAAATGGTCTTTTATTGTTGATTATTACGATGTTTCTTGATTAAAATTTGTTGAGCGATTAAGTTTTTATTTTCAGGCCATTTCAGAAAGATAGTATAGAATAATTAAATGGTATTTAGTGAGTATTTTAAACGAAAAAATAAAATGATGAAAATGGAGGGATGTTCGGTTCCAAAATCGTAATAATAATTTTTAAATTTAAGAAGATAAAAGAATCTTTGATTTTGCTTTTTTAAATAGCCTTATTGATTTTCTATTTTCGCTTATTTATTTTCATAAACAAAAAGAAGCCACTGTTTTATTTACTATATCAGATTACAACAGTTTGTGTGAAAAAATAGTTTCGAAAATGGAAATATTTTTGTTCCCAACTCTTTTTTTTTTTTTTTTTTTTTTTTTTTAATTTGATGAATTCGCTCACGTAAATAATTAAAAAAATACTAATTTCGTAATTAGTCTGTTGATTTAATTAACATTTTAAAACTCAGTTCACTTTTAACTTAAAAAATGATGTCTCAGCGAACATTCAATTGAATGAATATTATTATTTTTTTTTTTTTTCTTTAAATTAATTTAAATTTTAAATTTCCCTAATGAACTTTTGTAAATTTTTAGCTCTCATTTTCACATAAAACAAAAGGTTGTGGAATTGTAGGGGTGTCTATTTTACCATGTAGATTCATTGTAATTTAAATTGATTACCCAGTACCCTACTGAAGCCAAAACAATGCTCGTGAATGTGATTTCTTAAAACGTGAAAAAACAAAATCTTTTTAAGTTCATAATATATGAAGAAAAGTACTCTAGATTTTGCGTGTTTCAATTTATTTATTTTATTATTATTTTTTTTTTTTCACCTTTTAAAAACTTAATGTCAATTTTTAGTTTTTGTTTCCGGAAGAGATCAGTTAACAATATTTATCCCCACACACCCTTCACTTTTATAAAATTTAGGGCAGTATAAAGAATGCTAATCCACAAAAAAAATTCCCTATTTTTTATGTGCAGGATAGTTTTATTTAGGTAGTGCTCAAAACTGGTGAAGGCAACAAGAAACTATTACCCAATAAGTCTGCTATAAGCAACCTCGTACAAGCCGAAATAAGTTTCGGCTTAAAAATAACCTACAAAGGGTTGATAAGCCAGAAAAAACAACAACCAATTTCCCAAAAAGGGATGGCTTTGTGCACATATAGAAAAGGGATCTGTAAAAATCCGTGATATCCCCTGTCCTGAAGAGAGATTGTAAAAATAAAAAAATAAAAACAAAAAGAAAGAAATAAAATAGAGTAACAGTTAAGTATAAAAATGCCTTTTTCTTGTGTGTGAATTGAATATAAAACTAGACCCTAAGTTTTTACTTGTTTAGTTTACTCAAATAAGGTTGCTATAATTAAGGTATAAAGTGAAAAAAAGTAAAGAACAGATATAGGGTTTATTAAATTCAAAATAATTATTAATTTTGTTTCAAATGGATTGTGTTTTTTCTTTTTTATTCTTTTATTCTTTTTAGAACTGTCATTATTCCAATTCCATTTTGATTTTCTTATGCAGCAAAAAATTAGAAAAAATTCTTTATCTGTTGTTTGTAATTAAGCATATCCGACATTGTATACAAGATACGGTAATTTAATTAGCAGAATGGCTCTGTAAAAGCAGAGTGCGCTTACCTGGTCACTGTTTGCTGCTGTCACCTTCAAAGTACTCTCCTTGTAAAGCTGTTCACTTCATGACACAATAGTGTCATTGCTGGAAACTTGGAATTTGTTTTCCAGGATAATACCTTTCAGTAACTTGAGTTGCTAGATGTCTGGACATCATATAGAAAACATTGTTTCATCACCGCTAATTATGCTGCATTATTGAAAAGATCAGATGAAATGTGAAACTGATGTCATTTCTAGTCGTCGGGCAATATTTTCAGGCACCATCTTCGCAGAAACTTTTCTTATTCCCAAATTCTCTTTTAGGATCTGCTGCACTGTTTTCTTATTCGTTTTTTCTGCTGCAGTCATTCCTGAAATTAAACCCTGTGTGCATTTATTCAGTTAACCGATATAACAGGCTTTTGTATCAGAATACACCATACTGTCCATATATGGACAGACCCTCTCCTGTAGGATTACTCAGTGAGATGTCATTAAGTAAAATCCTATAGATTCTTCAAAGAAGGAAAAAAAAAAAAAAAAAAAAGCAAGTGACTATATTCTTCATGTCATGTGCGAGGGATTTTGGTAAAATGTAGCACCATCTGGACCTGTTTGTGCCATTCTGTTTACATTTGGCTTCCTGCATGGGTAGCAGGTCAGAGTGTTGAATGGACAAAATGTTGAACAAAGTAAAAACAAGCATATTGTCATGATTTTGCTAAGCTTTGGCATCATTTAATAAATAATAGCATTAAAATAAAAATTTTTATTTTTTACCACAATTGTAATTTCTCATAAATAAAAATGTTAACTCTTTAGTGTAGTTTGAATGCAGATCCATGTTCAAAAAAAAGTTAGCAATTATGTAGAAAGTTTGTTTTTTATCAGGTTTTTATATTAGTTTGAAATTTAAAAATAATTATTTACTGTCAGTATACTTGTATGCTAAGTAAAAGGTATTCTATTGTAGACATATTTCTGGCCTTTTGTCATTTAGTCATTTTGACTTTTTTTTTTTTTTTCTGTTCAAAACTTTGTCATTTTGTCTCTTGACATACTGTCTACGCCCTGCATGTTATCCTTATCATTATTGAAGCGGATGAGATTTCAGAATATGGGCGAGATTAAGAGGAATGCAAAGAAGCAGCTGATAACAAACTTGAAAAAAGGATTTTGCAGATTGTTCTGAAAATTGGTTGGGATGCTGAGATAAGTGTGGTCTTGATTGTTTTCAGATCTGTTTATTTTCTTGCTAGAAATTAGAACTGAGAAAAGCAGATAATGTTATTTCATTTAGCATTTCATTTTCTCTTTCTGATGAATTTACGATTGTTTCATTTCAGGCACCCTACAGTAACTGGCACATCTGTCATGGGAATAATTTTCAAAGACGGCATAATGCTGGCTGCTGACACACTCGGATCATATGGCACATTGGCTCGTTACCGTGATCTTTCTCGTGTTTCCGTTGTGAATGATGCTACTGTTATTGCCGCTGGTGGAGATTATGCTGATTTTCAATATCTTAAATCCGTCATAGAACAAAGAGTGTAAGTATTAGACAAAGAAAGAAAATGAAGAGAACTATTGCCTGTTGTTGTTTGAGTCTATGATCAAGACCTTGTTGAATTTTTATTAGTACAAATTAAAAATGCTATGAAATCATGAAAATATTCCTCTAGAATTTAAGGCAACTTGAATAGTTACAATTAGGTAGTCAAAAGAATAAAACTAATCTTAGTTGAAGGAATGGTGACATGAGGTGGGAGTTGAGGGAATAACAAAAACACAAAAATAAGATGGTGTTAAAGACAGCAGCTTGGATATAATTTTCCCCCTTTTTTCTGCATTGTTCAAGGAAAAAGCATGTTTTGTAATTATAAATATTAATTACCACATAATGTTTTCAATAATCTCATTAATAAATGTGAAAAAGATGATCTGGTAAAACAAAGTAAAAAATGTTGCCAGAGATGGATATGCAACGTGATTGGTCCTGATCTGGCATCCCATCTGCAGTCACTTTCTCAGAGATGTGCTGTGGCTTCCCTCTGTCTTTTCTGCAAGTATTTATGGCAACTACTTTGACAAGCTACTTTCACTGGTTCCCAAACTTCATGAACTGCTACTAGGTTAGCATCTTGGTCCCACCCTTTCACTGTCGAAATGGTTAAATGTAACCATCTCTTCTACTTCAACAGCTTTTTATCTCACACCTCCCATCAGTGGAACTCCTTTCCTATCACCCGCTTCCTTGATAAATATAATCTTCAAATATTCAAATGTAATGTCAATTGACATCTTCTGATATCTGTCCTTCTCTTTGTCCTTTTCCTAAACATTTCTCTTTACTCTCTACTCTTACTCTCACTCTCTGTAACCCCTTGTGTGCTAGTGGCATTCTCGCTTTGATTGAGGTGATTTGCTTAAAAAAAAATCATTTGAATGACATGTAGTGTACTATGATTTGTAGCTTTGAAATACACTTTTTTTTTTTTAAGTCACTCAGTATATATTATTTGACCAATATTGACTATAATAAATAAAAATAATATATAATAAAATAAAAAAGAACAAATAGATAAATAATCATTACTCATTTTCATAAAAAAACCCTCCATTCCTTTTTTTTTTTTTTGTTATGACATAAAAGTTGTCCATACACTGCACTTAGTAGGATTACAAACAAGACCTGTCAAAGGATGGATGAACCTTCCTAGGTTCATCCATCCCTCTAGCACAATGCGGTAGATTAAACTCCATAGCTATTGCTAGGTTATTGCTGGGTGGTGGGTTCCCTAGGTTGGCTAGGGTGGAGGATTCTGATTAAAATAACAGCCACGTGTCCCATGACCAAAGCGAGCTTTTCAAGTTAGTGGATGTCAGCTGTGGTTTGAGTTGGAGAGGGATGGCCCTGCCTGGTCTACTTTCCCAAGATGCACTTTGATCCAGATATGTCGAGGGAACTGGTCATGAGCAAGTATTTCTATGAATTCCTTCATTAATTTTCTAAACCTTAAGAAAAATGAAAAGTAACTAAATTTGTGATACACAGTCCATTGGCTTCATGCATTATTATCCAAAATAACTATGGTTAAAATTGGTCAGTAGAATACAAATATGTCAAAATTATTTATTATTATTTTTTTTTTTTTTTTTAAACTTATAAATGCATCAGTGACTACTATAAATCATTTTCCATGTTAATCAACCTTAGTCTTAATTGTTAAAAACGAGTATTAAATAAAATGTTACAAATATTTAAAAAAGAAAAAACAAAGTGGTTTCTGAAAAATTTATTTCAGTTGAGCTCTCTGGGGAGGAAGTGTGGGTTTGTAAACAGTGACTTACAGCTAATAATGCAAAACTCTTCGGTAAATCGAATTGAGTTCTCTCAGTCACTGTGTTTATCTAAAAATAAATATGCTTCAATTCACCTTCATCCCTGCCATGCACCAATGGCTTAGTGGTAAAAAAATATTATGCTTTATTTTCCATAATTTTGCGACAGGTTTCCGGTCTCGTGACCTTCATCAGGCAAAGTGTGAAGATTTCTACGTATTATTAAAAATAATTAATTATTTTTAATAATATGTGGAAATCTCCATGCTTTACATGATGAAGTTCGTGAGTCTGGAAACGCGTGTAGCAAAATTATGTAAAATAAAGCATAATATTTAAAAAAAAAAAAAAAAAAATCCACCTTACAACCAAAAACGTTTGTGGTTTCTCTCTTCTTTTTTAATATATTTATTTTTTTTTTTTTTTTTTTTTTTTTTTTTTTTCAATGGAGAAATGTGAAGAGAAAAATAATTGGTGTTCATATTGTATTGTCTTTCAGAATTGATGAGAACTGTTATGATGATGGCTTCAATTACACTCCCCAAAGTTTGTTCTCCTGGCTCACAAGAGTTATGTACAACCGCAGATCCAAGTACGACCCTCTGTGGAACACATTTGCTGTTGGCGGAATAAATAATGGCAAACCGTAAGCTCCCTCACTCTCCTTTTTCTTTTTTTCTTGCTTAAAAGTATACAAATGTACGTGTCTACACATGTCATCTATAAATACAAAAATTTGTATTGTGGTATGGAATATAAGTAAAAACATTTATAATTCTATTATGCTGTTGATTTATTTTCTTCTAAAAAAAAAAAAAGAAAAAATACTTAGTGTTCATTGATATAAAAAGAAAAATATTATCAGCTTTTGATAAAAGTAACGAGACATAAAAAAAAAAAATAATTATCAGAAAAATCACTCAAAATATACGCACAGTTCTTAAAACAGGGGGTTCTCAACTAATTTCCTCTTACCCATGGATGTTTTCAGGAAAGAGGGGGAAAAACTTTTCCTTGCTTTTTATTTACAGAATTTGGAGACCATTGTGTGTGTGTGTGTGTGTGTGTGTGTGTGTATATATATATATATATATATATATATATATATATATATAATATATATATATATATATATATATAAACCCTCTAGAAATAATCCATGTAAAATTGCACTTGCCCCTGACAGATCTGGTTGATGACTATTTTTGTCAATGATTTTGACAAAAACAATTCACACATTTCCTCACTGAGTTTGAACCCATATTCTCTTATTTTTTCAAAAACTCTTTTCACATGCCCAATATGTTGTTCTTTAGATACATTTGTAATTAATATATCATCCAGATAAGCAACTGCGAAATCACAATCTGCAAGCATAGTATCCATAGCTTGTTGAAATATAGAGGGAGCCATTTCTATTCTAAAAGGAAGTCAGTTGAACTTATGCAATCCCTTATACACATTTATAGTTATTAACTGAACATTCTTCTTAAACTTGTATTTGCAAATATGCTTCAGAAAGATCCAGCTTTGAAAACTTTTTTCCACTATTTAAATTCACAAAAATTTCCACTGGACTTGGTAATGAGTAAGTTATGGGATTCTAAACATTTGTTTAACCCTGTCAAAAAAATCAGTAGAAAGACAAATTTTATTATTTTTTTCTTTACATGCACTGTTAATGCTGCCCATTTTGAAAGGATAATCTTTTTCAATTACACCTATTTTTCAAGTCAGTCTAATTCTTTGTTGACTTGATCCAAAGCTGAAAACTTTAAACACTGGGCTCGACCCTTTTTTTCACTTGAAATTTTGCTTTGACTTTGGAATATCAATCCAACTCATCCGACAGAACACCCAGAAAACATTTTATCAATTCTTTTAAATTTTCACACTTTTTTTTTAAAAACTGGTAGCATATCCACTTACTTTTCTGCAATAAATATTTATAGGTAAATCCCACAACTCAAATAATTCCATCCAGTTAGTACCGAATAAGTTTGTAGTATTTTTTTTAACACATAAGCCTTAGCTTTTGCACACTTTTTACGAAATGAAACTGTACATGTCATTTCACTAATAAAAAAAATTTCTTACCTGACAAGTCACATGCAATTTTCAAAGTTCTTTTTAATATAGGTTTCCCATTTGCTTTCCATGTGGCTTCATTGATTTTTGTGATATCACTTTAACACTTAACCTGGTGGTCGATTATGGGTCAGCCTGTATTCACGTATTAAGCAAAATCTTAAATTTCACTATTGCAATATGGTTCTTTCTTGCCCATACAGACTTTGATTTGTTGATAACACTCTAATCTCTTGCTTGATGTTTCAGGAATTGTTAAATCCATTTTACCTACCTTTACCACCAGTAGGTACTTGATGTTAATTGTTTTTACACTATTGTAATGAAATCACTGTTTATGATAGAGATAAGGAGTTCACTTGTGTATGTTGCCTTTTTGTAGCAGACATGTCACCAAAGAGATTTTCCCTTGCTAATAATGTTTTTACAGATTAATGTTCGTCATCATTCTGGAATTATGCTCTCTCTCTCTCTGTCTTTTCTGTATAGCTGGGGGATGGTGACACATATTTTATTTTGAGAATTTCAGTCAAGTGGTGAAAAGCCAGACGGTCAATAACTGATTATTGTTAAATGCAATGGACATGCATCCCATGTAATAAGCTATGTGCACTGTGAGAGAGTAGGTACCAGTTTTGTCTTAAGAGCCCCAAAAAGCTGTAGGTGGCCTGTCACGATTGTCAGACATTTGGGAAATTGTTTAATCTTGTCCTTCTGCTGATGGAGGCCTAGTGTACTAATGGATAGCAACACTGATTGAATTCCAGTCAAGTTCATTAACATGCTGATATCCTTGGGAAAGATATAAATTCCATCTCCCCAAGCTAGATTGGGCTCTATAGGCTTGATTAGCAACCAGTCTAGATGAAGGAAAACTGAATTCAAGCTAGCCTGGAAAGGGTTGAGCTCTGCCTGGCTGTCTTGCTCAGGAAACACTGCTCCTGTAACTCTAGTGGATAGTGATATGCTTTTTGCTCATGAATATCTTGTGCATCCATATTTGTCATGTTGTCAGTACATTTCACCTTTGCTTTACAACTTTAACAAACTGGCCTGTTTAAATTGGAAAACCCAAATTGTTCCCACCGTTTGATTTATACTATGGCCCTTTCAGTTTCTCTAGTTTAAAATCCATCTCAAAAGCGTTCAAAGTTGAGATGTTGCATTTCGTACCAGTCATGTATTAAAAGGTGACCACTGATTGGTTCTAAGGAAATCTAAGAAACCAATAACAAATCAAATTGTAATGTGGGAGATCTCAGACTTTATCACATGGTGACGTGCCTGTTAGACATACACAAAAGTAACAAAATTAAGATTGTAAATTCTTCATAAAAATATTTCTACAGTATTAAACAAGTTTTTTTTTTTTTTTTTTTTTTTTTAAAACTTAAAATTAAGTAAGGAACCAATTTCAATAAAATTTTCTTTACTCTTTTCATTTATGAATGATTAAATGATTATTAATAACATTTGAAAAATGTTAACACGTTTGCTTATTTGCCATAAATAGTAAATAAAACTTTAAAACAATTGTCATTGCTATATAGTAATTTTATCTTTTCATACCAGCATTTGTTTTTTTTTCTTTTCATAGTAAAAAAAAAAAAATATTTAAAACTATATTTATTAAGCCAGAAATCCATCCTTAATACCATTTATGTAAGAAAGTGTCATCAAAGTTAGAAAAAAAAAAGGGTAGGTATTGTTGCACTGGGGAATCATTGTATTTTGGTAAGGGAGCACTTTGATAATGGGGAAATAAATTATTCCTTATGCACAAATGATAGTTATTCTTTTCTAACTTTTTACTTTTCTAATACTATTTTCCTTCTTTATACTTATTTAAAACCCTCATTGGTTTTGCTGTGTTTGTCTCATTGTAAAAAATTGACAAAAACCAAATATTTTTCTTTTTTTTATATTTGGCTAACTATTCTCAAATTGTTTTTCAGCTTCTTGGGTTATGTTGACAAAATTGGCACTGCCTACACATCTAACACTCTTGCGTCTGGATTTGGTGCTTACTTGGCCCGGGTGAGTTTTTCCTTCTTTATTTTCCTTACTTTTGTTTCATCAGGCCTGTCAACCTAAAAAATCTTAAAACCTGGAGATTTAGATTTCTAACTTCAGAAAAATAGGAAAAAGCAAAGATTTTGAAATCAGCCTAATATTGTTAACTCTAAAACACTATTCTTTGAATTCACCAGCAGTGATTTCTAATGGAGGCATGATTTGCGATCTACATTAACCCATTTTAGGCTATTGTTTCACTTATAAAACAAACCCCAGTTTGGTAAATCTGTTATCGAAAAGTAATATCTCCACAATAATTTAATTGGATCATGAAACATTTTTCAAACCACATGTAGTAATTATTTTAACTTATGACTCTTTTAGTGGAGAAAGCTCAATTTATTTACAGAGAGAATCGTGTAAAAGCTGGCAACCTTAGCAGAAGGCCAACAGTTAACTGGGTGAATACAAGTTGTGAACTTGGGTGGATGGGATGCGGGGGGCATAAATAAAGAATAAAGAGCTAAAAACCAGGATTTTCCTAGTACTTTTGGGAGAGTTGGCAGGTTTGTATAGTTAAATGACACGGATGGAAGATAATATTGAAACACTCTGAATATGTGTTGGAAGAATTACAATAAGTGATCATATATACAGAGCATTATGTGCAAAGGTTCCAAAATAAGGAGAGACTCAATGATACTCAAAAGCCATATTAATACATTGTATATCTAGACCTGTATTTTTGCATGTCTACAATTATATAGATGGTGAATATCATCTTGTGATATATTATTCCAAGACCTTTGCAGCTGTTAAAACAATATTGCAAGAGTGGTAGGTGGGCTAACTGAATGAGTCCAGCATCATCCCATCATGTTCAATAGGAGACAGGTCTGGCAATTGGGCCAGCCATGGAAGTTGTTGGACTTGTTTTAGAGTATGTTAAGTAATGTGGGTATCACGTGGGCAGGTATTATCCTGCTGTAACCTGCAGCAAAACCTGTTGAACAGTGTTGGGTAATGTTATAAATACATACTGCTGTCCATCATTTCCTCCCCAAAACCCAAATGTGAACAACAATTGTATCTTATTGCTCCTCATACCATACTGTGCTGTGGTTGAATAACATTTAAATAAAATGTCTCTTCACAGCTGCATGTTGTGCAAGCAAATGAGTCTTATTTGCATAAAGACAGAACCTACTCTCATCTCTGAACATTATGATACTACTGAAGTTATTTATGATAGTGCTGTGTTATACATACAGGTCTGGTTTGGGTCTTTATTAAGGGAATATTTTTTGTCCTTGATAAAATCTCTCAGATGACAAAACATATTAGCTAAGAATAGTTTCTCCACTCCCTTGTCTTTTTATTCATTTAGTTCCTTTACAGATGCACTCTCTCTGAAAATAATTTACATACATATACACACACACACACACACACACACACATATTTTATTTCATTGAATATGGCTCCAAATGTAAAGAACGAAAAGAATATAAATTCAAACTTTCATAACATTAATTTAAAAATGGGTTCAATACAAGTTTAGTCAAAGTAACTTGCATGTTCCAAAGTAACAGTTTAATCAAAATTGTCAGCTTTTAGTCTTTTCCATATTTTTTTTATTTTTTATTTTTTTTTTTGTAGCCAATGATGAGAGATGCTCTGGAGAAGAACCCAGATATGTCTGAAGAGGAAGCAAAGGCCGTTATTATGAGATGTATGAAAGTTCTTCATTACAGAGATGCCCGTTCTCTCAATAGGGTAAGCCATGGTTTCTTTTTGAACAATGTGTCTGATTTTAAAGAATCTCACTTGACAATGATTGCAAGAGAAGAATGACTAGTTAGGATTATAATTAAATTAATATTAGCTTTAATTTGTATCAGAACACCAAAACTCTGCTCTTTTAACTGTAGAGAAAAATTAGAAAGTTTTAAAATGAAATTTTGGTACATACAGTAGCGGCCATAATATAAGGAATGGAAACAACAAAGACATAAATATGTCTATTACTTAAAAAGTAATGCATGATTAGCAATGAAATTTTTACCGAATAAAGATTAGGGTGTAATGCATAAATATTATACAAAGTTATAAAAATTTACATAATAGTTTTTTTTTTTTAAATAAAGATTAAATGGAACAAAGGAAATAAGCTACTGGACAAAAGTTAAGGAATGATCTTGTTAATACTTGATTGTGAACACAATATCAACAAAATTTAATATTTGGTAAACATTCCCTTATTTTCAATGACTTGTCTGCATCGTCGACCACATGATCTAATTAATTTCTTGCAAAAATCAGCAGTAATTCCCTCCCATTCGTCTTTGAATAACTCCCATAGGTGATCCTGGTTTTTCGGGTTTCTTTTCTGAGCCCTTTCTCCAATTCCAAACATTTTCTATTGGATTCAGGTCGGGGCTCTGGGCTGGCCACTTCATTAGGGCGATTCCTTCTTCAAATAAAGTCATAACTTTCTGAGCCTTGTGGCAAGGTGCATTGTCCTGCATGAAAATAGAAGATTCATAAAGATTATGATATAATCTTGGTACCACATGCTGCTGAAGAAGCCTTTTGTAAATCTCAGCATCGATATTGCCATGTACGCGGATGATAGGGCCAACTCCTGCAGATGAAATAATTCCCCACACCATCACACTGCTGCCACCAAACTTGATGGTTTTCTTGACACATTGAGAAGACATTCTTTCACCTGTTCTGTCATACGTAAGTTTTGCCCTCAGAACCAAATATAGTAAACTTGGACTTGTTACTGAAATGAACTGTATCCCATTGTGCATCAGTCCAAACAACATGTTCTCTTGCATACACCAGGCGTGCCATTTGGTTTCTCTTTGAAATGAGAGGCTTCGAAGCTGGAATACGGGCATGTAATCCTGCATTTTTTAACCTGTGAGCAACCGTTTTCCTTGAGATCTTATCTGTCTCTTCATTAAATTTATGGGCAATTGATGTAGAGTTTCAAAACGTTTTTTTGTAGATATTCTAACAATTCTTCGATCTTCTCTTTGCGATGTTTTTGGAGGTCTGCTGGTTTTTGGTTTTGCATCTAACGTTTTATCAGTTTTATACCTTCTAATTACCGATGAATTTTGTAACTTTTTTAGACCTATGAACAATATCAGAAATTTCTGAAATTGACTTTTTTTCTTCATAGTTAGCAATAATGAGTTTTTTTCTTCAAAAGAGAGCATTTTGCGTGTAGAATTTGCCATGTTGCTTAAAAATAAAGTCCTAATGATAAATGAACTTTTACTTATTGTTGAAAAGCTCCATCGAGTTTTTTAACAATGTAAATTAAAAGTTTATGCAAATTATTAACATCGTTCCTTAACTTTTATCCAGTAGCTTATTTCCTTTGTTCCATTTAATCTTTATTTAAAAAAAAACAAACTATTATGTAAATTTTTATAACTTTGTATGATATTTATGCATTACACGCTAATCATTATTCGGTAAAAATTTCATTGCTAATCATGCATTACTTTTTAAGTAATACACATATTTATGTTTTTGTTGTTTCCATTCCTTATATTATGGCCGCTACTGTATTTCACTGAAAATTAAATAAAAATGGCTATTAATAGTTTAATGAAAAACATCTTTTGAATTGATTTTGCACCTCATCTAGATACACTGTAAAATAAAGGTAAAAATTGTTTGGAGTGCAACCACACTATTTGGTGCTTTCATCAGTTGATTAATCAAAATTTAAATCATTTTTTCATAGGAAAAGATTACAAACTGGTTTTCTTTCTAAATTGAAATAATTACAAATTAAGTACAGCAGACATAATTTTTGTGATGTTTCAACTACTTGGATTTATTCAGCTGAAATGATGGAAATCTTTTTTCGCTTATGATTGATATGAATAATACATATTATTTTAGGATGATCTTCTAGTGTAAAATACAATTAACTTTCATAGCAAATCACATTTTTGTTTTTAAAAAATATTGCTCTGTTGCTGTTGAAGTGAAAAGCTTTTTCCAAACTTTTTTCGAATCTGATCACATGAAACTCCCAAGTAAATATTTGGCTGTTATTCTTCTGCTAAAACTGATACTTTGCTTGAAATGTAGAAAGTTTGTAATGATTTCAGTTCTATAAAGTTTAGTCAAAATTTTGATAGCGAAAGATCCATAAACCCATTGCTTAAATAGAAATCAGTAACAATCGTTCACTCTTTTATATTTAGACTACAAAAGGAGATACACTCTTTTTGTAGTCTCTTTTTGAAATTGTACTTTCTGTATATTTAATAAATATAATAAATTGTCTTTCTTTCTCTCCCCATAATCCAGTTTGAAATTGTTACGGTTACCAAAGATGGCGCTAGAGTTGAAGGTCCACTTTCAATCAAGCCTGATTGGAGCATAGTGCGTCAATCTCGGTGAGTAATTAGTCTTACTGACCAACACTGTCTTGTTTCCTGCCATTTGGTCACAGAAGATTATTTGAGCCTGGCATTAACCTTCATATTACATTTAAATTTTACTATTTAATGTAAGAATATAATATAGTTAAAGATTTAAAAGAAATGCATGCAAGTCGGTGCTGAAACTTTTTTTGACCTGAAACACTTCCCAAACTGTAAATCGTCTTGGTATGCATTTGTCATTTTAAAAAAAAAGTTAATTTAATACTACAAGAAGTAAAGTAATCCTAACCTTAAAAATGATTTGATAATGAGGTTATTCTTCTGAATAATTTGTGGATTAGTAATACAAAGAATTTCAGATGCTTATCTACTAAGAATTTTGTGTTTGAGAAAAGCACTGTCATGATCAAAGTACTTTTGTACCCATGTTAGTTATGATGAACTATAGAAAACCTTTTATTTAAGAAAAGAATTTTATATTAAGCATTGCTAATCTCTATATCAATTTAGAGAGTCTGTTGTGAAACAATCTTTGAAGATGTTATTCATGGAATATGAAATATTCATGAAATATCACTTCCCCAGTCTTGAAAGGCTTCATATCCAGAAATTAATCTCTGTATAAAATACGTGTTTTAAAATTACCAATGCAGAAAGTGGAGTTAGCAAACTAAATTAAAATTTCAGCTGAAGTGCAAATGTTCTTTCCAAAAGGCATGAATCCATTTCTCCCTGTGCTCTTTTCCATCATCTGATATCTTGACAAGAATGTCTAGCAAAAAGCTGGTATCTTTTTTTGACATGCATTCTCTACATATTGATACAGCCTCTGAGACTATCATTAAAAACTGTGGAGATAGGAAAATTTATTGAAGGTGGGGAATTAAACTAGTTTCTTTTCCACGGCTTGAAATCATGTTTGTAAGAAATTAATTTTTTCTTTCTTTTCTTTTTAGTTGTGGGAAATCATCCTGAAAATGAACAGATGATATCACAAGTTACTCAATGTTTTTTTCTTTGTAAAACACTTGATTCCAATAAAAATTGATTTAGAGAACGATATTAATGAACTGTTTTTCATGTTTTCATTCTCTCTCTTATTATTCCACCTACTGCCACCACCATCATGACTACCACAAAATGTGTACCTCCTTTTTTTTTTTTTTTTTTTCCTTATGGACTAAAAGGACTTTGGGGAAACAAAACTGACAATGTTTTCAAATTCACTTTGTAATTGCAAAAAAGCTGTTTGTAAATCATTATGATAACATTTCAAGGTACCCAAACAATAAAATTGAAACTAGGACAGAACATTTGTCTTAAAATAAATGAAGTTATGCAATAAAAGATTTGTATTGACATGGAAAATAAAAGAAATGAAATAACATTGAAAGATTATATTTTTTTTTTTTTTTTTTTAAAAAGAAAAAAAGGAAATTAGATTTAAAAGTGATTGATTATCTCAAGGTTAGAATCTCCTCAAAGTGAAGTTTTTGTTTTGATTTGGATTAAATTTAAACGAATTAAATCTCAATTTATAAGGTTGGTTATTTTTTTAATAGCACATTTGTTAATATTTAAGACAAATAAAAAAAAAAAAAAAGTATTTACTTACTGTACTATCTAAATAAAGTGTAATCAAGGCGATACATTTTCCTTTGGGGTGTGGATGTATTTTAGCCATTACCAAAAGAAAAAGTCTTATATGACCATTTGCATTAGTTTACCCAGATCTCTTTGGCCCTTAAAATTAACTTTTCAGTTACCTTCATATTATTGTGTGTAATGTATGAATGAATGGAAGGGATTAACTCAGACAATTATTTAATATATTTTCTGTTTATATGTTATTTTTTATAGATACAATTTATTTAAGTAAATGCTCTGTTTTTTAATTAAACTATTGCATTTACTGGTCTGAATGTTCAAGAAATTTTCATAGAAGATTGTGTTTGTAAATAGTAATTTGAATTTTGCTAACCAGACACTTTGCTGTAGCTAAATGGTATAGCATGTCAGATTAAATGGCAGTTTCTATATAGGAATACAGGTTTGGTTCTTGTCTGAAAATGCATATTTTTGACAAAATTTCTTGAGCATACAAGCCAGTAAATGTAATTAATACTGTTTAATTAAAGACAGAGCATTTACTTAAATAAATTGTATCTATAAAAATAACATAGACAGACTATCTATCTATCTATCTATAGAGAGAGAGAGACATTGAAGATATTTCATTTCCATTTGTCAAATTTCTTAATATCTGTTGATATTCTATATGCTATTTTAAATACATATATCTATTACTTGCATTATTTACAATTATTGGGCTGTTATCCTTATCTTCATTGCCTTATTTGTAACGTTTCGGATGTTGTGCACTTCGGCCTTCCTCATGTGATTGGAATTTTGAACCGGATCCTTTATTTTGTCCACCAGGGTAGATTGTTCTAGTTCCACGTGCCATGCCTCTTCCAGATGTCCCAGTTATTTCCCTTTAACTCAACTCTCCAATTTTTTTTGTTCACCACTGCAGTGCCTGTGGCCTGGTATTGAACTCACATGGCTCAGTGGATAAAGATGTTGGTTAGATCCAGTGATTAGACACAGTGTGTTTTTTTTTTTTTTTTTTTTCTCAATGCCTTTAATGGATGAGCATGTATTCTTGAAAAAGTGGGGTTGTTTCTCATCATCTTTTTTTATTGTGTGCAATTTAGATTTTTCCTTCTCTTAGAATCAACACCCAAAGTCAGACAGTGCAGTCTACACTATTTAACGCACAACTATGTGGAAGAAAAGACATTAATTTTCACGGCATTTGTGCAAAAATGAACACAGCACATTAGACCAGAAATGCCTCTCTACGTTGATATCGTTTAGCCCATATGAAGTTGTATATTTTTTTGTCTGAAACTTTTTGATATTTTAATTTCTTTTTCTCATTATTTCACCCAAGCAAGGCAATAAAGCATTGCTTGGGGTAAAATGATTAGTCAGCTATATTATTGGTATTGATCTAGCATCTCGGCTTCAATCACTTTTCCACCACCATATTGTTCTTTCCTTGTGTCTTTTCTATAAATACTTTCATGGTAATTGTTTGAAAGAGCTCTTCACTATGGTACCTGGACATTTTGAATTTAAGTGCAGTACTAGACTGATAAAAAGGTCTCGTCAATATACTGTTGAGTTTGGTTAGATGTAAACGTAAATTCTATGCTAACAGTTTGTTTTCTCGCTTGTAGAATTCCCTTCCGGCTTCATGCTTTCCAGCAAACTTTAATCTGCAAACATTTAAATGCAATTTCAATCGCTATCTACTGTCCACCTGATTACATTTCTTCTGTACTCACTCCTTTCTGTTTTCCAATTCTTCCACACCCAGTAACCCCTTGAGTCTCAGTGACACCAGGGGTTACTTGATGTGGTCATATTCTCTAACATTCAGTAACCCCCCCTTGCATCTTAGTGGCTTTATTACCTTGAACTAGATTAAAACACAAATGAAATACTTTTGAAATAAGGTCATTAAATTTTGTTACCAGGAACCTCTTTTAATCATTTCACCTCAAGCAAGGCAATAAAGCCACTAAGATGCAAAGAGTTACTGAATGTTAGAGAATATGATGAAAAAAACATTAAGGAGAGAGAACAGTAAAAGAACAGGAATTAAGAAGGCAGGAGATAAGGATTGGCATTGCATTTAAATTTTTGACGATCAAAGTTTACTGGAAATCAAGAAACTGGAAGAGATTTCCATGAGAGAGAAGTGCGAGAGAAGATACTGTTAGCATAGAACTTACAGCTAGATTTAGCCATTTCAATTATAAAATTATGGGACCTTGCCACCAATCTGGTACTGCGCTTAAATTCGGAAATCTAGCTACCAAAGAGTAAAGTTCGTTAGGGTAATTACCATGGAATGTATTTATTGAAAATTAACAGGGAAGAACAATTGAACCCTTCAGTTATTTGAACATCCACTTCGGCTACATTCTTCTCCCAACCAGTAAAGTAAGCATACTACACTGATCTTAATCAAGGAGTGCCAATTCATGTGTGAATAATCCCATTACCCTTTTTTAAAATAGATATTATATTTATATATTTAAAGATACACACGTGGAAATCTAATAATAACGTAAACATACAATGTGATGCTTGGCCAAGATTCCCACCGACCAGACAATGATTACCCCACATCGCTTTCTGGTTCTTGTTCTAGTCAATATGCACCGAACGCTGGGAAAGGGCCCGCTGCATGCTCACATAGTAACAAGAAGAAAGGCAAACAACATTGGGAAATAAGAACGCGAACCCTGTTTACCGTATTATAAAATAGATGTTTTATTCAGGGCTTCGCCTGCTCGTCCAGGTGGGTAGGTAGGTAGGTGATACTTGAGACAACTTTTGCTATGTAGGCCAAACAGTTCAGCCGCTTCTACCAACTCCTCGTCCATCTACTCATCTTGATGTGGTGACTGGCAATACAAATGGACAACATTAAAACCGCGTATCAAATGCGTCCGTCTTCTGCCAAGATCGGACCAAAACTTACCCCAATCTCAAGCATGTCTGTTTAATAGAAACCAACACCCGTGGCTCGGATTGAGGAATCGGAGAGCCGAGTTCGAATTCTAGTCAATTCGATTCCCTTACGTGCTAATCCTCTTGGGAAAGGTATGAATCTTCATCTGTTCTTTACAGAGACTCATTGAAATTTTCGCTACAATAAAAAAAAAAGTGTTCTTGATAAACATTTCTATCTTGTTTCGTTTCACTCTTTTGCTTTTACATATTTCAACCAATTCAACACCTTTAGTTTTTGTTCAACCCCTAACCTAGTAACAACAGTTTGGCAATCATGAGGCTAACTGTGAGTTTTTCTTTACTTCATGTTGACTTTAGTTAACATGAAGTAGTGCTCAGATTCATTCAGGAAGGCAGTACCTCCACAAAGAAAGTAATGGCCACTATACTTGGCAACCAGAAGTGGGTCATACTCTTTCAGTTAATGTCCAATGACACCGCTATTAATTCTGACTCAGATATGAGCTCATTGTCAAAACTGAGAATAAAGCTTCTTCAAGCTTGATAACATTTGAAGTTATGAACCTTTACTGCATAATAACAAAGAGACTCATTGCAACATAAAGATCAGACAAGCAATCACATCTCATGGGTAGGGAGACAACATTGCTTCGTCCACCCCCATAATCCTGACCTGGTACCCCTAGTTTTTCATATGTTTGTGTCCATGAAGGAGTCGACCAGGGGACATCAGTTCACCAGTGACGTTGGGGTGTGTGCTTGTATTAAATCTGTTGTAATTAAGAAAGAACATTAATTAGATTTTGAGTGACTCTTGTTACAAATAAACACATTTAATCTTGCAAAAAATAATAAATAAATAATATAAAAAATAAATAAGTAAATTTCAAAACACAATAAGTTATTCGGGATTTGTTGTTGACAAAAATCTTTATTAGTTTTCAAAGTTTTAGTAATCTCCCTGATTGGCCATTTATTGAGTTTTTATAAAAGTATAAATTGAGCTTAAAACGTTTTGCTTTTTTTTTTGAAGATCTTGTTAGGAATTAGAAATCATGGCCAAAAATTTAGAATTTATAAACAAAACAAAGTGAATAATAATAATAATAATTGATATAGCAGTCCCTACAGACTGCAATGTATCTTTGAATATTTTCAAAAAGCTAGCAAAATACAAGGACCTTGAAATCGAAATGTCAAAAATGTGGCACATGAGAACATCAACAATCCCTGTTGTAGTTGGAGCCCTAGGATTGGTTGGAAAAGGTTGCAGTAGACTAATTGGAGGGATTCCTGGAAGTCCATGCCTCAAGGAGATACAAAAAATTGTTCTGACAAGTACAGCCCACACTTTACGAAGGGCTTTATCTATGTAATTTTTTTTGTCAGTGGAAAGTGTCATGATGGCATTTCTAACCTTAGGTCCCTGGGCGGCACCCGGAAAGAAATGTGTAAACGCCAGAAATCAAAGAAAATAATAATAATAATAATAATAATAATAATAATAATAATAATAACGAACAAGACAAAAACAAAAAAGAAACAAATAAACACTGGCTCAACTATTATTAATTTTGAATTTTGACTTGTAATAATCTTGATCCATAAAAAAATAAAAAATAAATAATTAATCAACAAGAAAATGCTCAAAAATTGCTTTAAAAATGACAAAGATTTTATTAGTTCAATGCAAATTTTTCTAGAAAAGTTTCTTGTTTTCAATTGTATATTCAGTTTCTAATTTTCAAAAATGAGTCCTGGGAACTTCTGCACACATCTGGTATTTACTGTTAAAAAAATGGAACAAGTCCTGCTTGTTGAGACAATTTCAGTATTAACAGACTATCATATAAACAGTCAAAAATGATAAAATACAAAAATATAAAAAAAATGATCGATTATTACAAAAAAATTGGAATTGGTCAATACATAAAAATATCGATCCAAAAACTTGGCTTATAACATCTATTAAACATGAAAACAGACTTCATGACTTGTGAACCATTACAGATATAAATCTTAGGTGTATGATCAAAATGGAGGAATGGAAGTGGGAAGACTGTGTTGCACCAATTTTTAGTTTGGAAACGGTTTATTTTTCTTGCTAAGTAGTATTCATAATGTTATTTTTTTTTTTTACTTATAATTAACATCAAAATTAACATCAAATATCAGTGAGAAATGTGCAACTCTCTCAGCCACTAAGCAAATCATTTTATGGACGTTTCCTTGGTTTTCATTTAAACCGCCTGTCTTGAAAATCAGCATTTGAAATCCTGGGAAGTGTCCGTGTCGACGACTACCTCACCCATCAATTATAGCAATAACTGTTACAAAATTCCCGGTTTATAAAAAAACAAAACAAATTGATGTGAACATACAGAAATTTGATGCCTGGAAATATAAACTGACTTTTTTTTTTTTTTTTTTTTTTTTTTTATTGCACTTTGGTGATAAATAATTCAACGTGCAGATGTTGTCACGGTTATTGGCTTGTAAACAGAAACTGATGGGCCGTTCGCACAGATAATCTTGGGAAATGTATAAATCCATCTTTTTCCCCTTTGGATATGGGTTAAATAACAGAGCAGACTATTTTGCCTTGAAGTGACAACCAAACTAGGAGAAGGAAAACTGTCAGTCGCGAATCGAAAGAGACATGATCGCCCAAGCGTCTATCACGTGATGGCACTTAACTGACTGACTGGCAGCGAAGAATGGATCCCACTTTTGGTTTTAAATTGTCCTTCTTTTTGATTGCCAACCAAGGCTAGATTACACAGACTACCCTATTATTTACTCATAGCTTGAGAAGGGAGAGAAGAGCGCGATTCATAACTATTCCAATTGCATTACTGCAAATTAAACTTGAACCGCCTCACTTAGAATTTGAACCCTGCATTCCAATTCTATTTTCTTCAGTTTTAACCATCAGATCACTTTCTTATCTTTGAATTCGGGTACTTAATAAAAAGAAACTTCATTCTTATCGAATATCTTCTATGCTTATGGCAAATATATTTATTTATGATACACATTATTTAAAAAAACAAAATTTTGTAACGTACGGTGACTGTTAATAATTAAGTATAACTCAAGACCTCAATGTTATGACAAAACAGTATTTAATTACAACTGCAAATAAATACTTAACAAGAACAAAGAAGTAAAAGCCAACCAAAGATAATTAACCATTTCAGTGAAGACCTTGTTAGTAGCGCGGCTTGGCTTAACGTTCAGTAAATCTTAAATCAAAACCCGAATCATCGACGCACAATAATTCACACTAATTCGACTGTATAGTTCCACTCAATAATCACTCAAGTCAGTAGCCTGACACCGCTATTTATATACCAGGTGGAAAACATATATTTATAAGTCCAGAGTGTCGCGCTCAAACCTCGGTGCTGGGTAATAATTTTCTTCTTATATGACAAAATTAATATCAATATCTCTGACATTAAGTAATATTTAATATTATATTAATATTTTAATAATAAGTTACTTTACATTTCTAATTGCTAATGTCTTTAACGATGGTAAATACAAATACAAAATATCAATTTCTTGACAAAATATAAGGTGCAGCAAAAATATATCACACTTTTTAAACTGTCACCTTAGGCGAGTGGCAATAGCGTCTTCATCTAGCTGACGTATTACCACTTATTTTTCAGATACCCTTAGTTACCATCATGGTTTCGACTGGTGCACACCGTGTGTTTGCTGTTGAAACGTTTTTATTTAAGATTGGTCAATCTGTAATTGTAACATAGAGAGCTTTTCGTATTCAGTTCATATTGGGTCAGAATAATGCTGTTCCGGAGAGAAAGTCGATGCTGTCATGGATTGAAATTTTCAGGGTTACAGGTTCAACTATTAAAAAAAGCCACACGGAAGAGCATGAAGCGCTTGAACTTTCGATAGATGGAAAACTTTAGAAATTCTCTACAAGAGTGTATGACAAATAGAAGTCATCCTTTGAAAGGATGTCAATTTTACAACCAAATAAATAAAAATTGTAGCCCTTTGTTTAAACAACAGCGAAAAAATCTTTTTAATAACAGTTACCTTGGTATATTTGTCAGCCTTTAAAATGTGGGAGGTATTTCTGCCGTACCCTGTATTTCATTGGGCCCTCCAGAGATCTGTCCAAATTGTTTTTAAACCCCATTTACTATCTGGATTACGGCCATATCTCGTTGAAACATTGGTTCCCGTACGATTACCCAAGTTAAGCAATATCAAGCCTGGTCAGTACCCAGATGGGTGATCGTTTGGGAAAACCAGGGGCTGCAAGCTTGGATGTGTGGAAGGTGTAATTGATAATGGCATGGAATTGTTAATCGGATACCTGAGTTTCAATTCAAGTTGGTTTTCATTATATTCACTTCTGCGTAAATAACCGTGGTAAAGGTATGAATCCACCTCTTCTACCCCCAGCTATGGGGTAATTAGTAAGACTTGTATGACTAAATCATTATTATCTAACAAAAAAAAAGTTCTTACAATCTAAAAATAATTTCTGGCTTTAAATAACCTGTAATGAGTTGATAAACCGTAGAAAAATAATCAATTTAATATCTTGTAAAATACAGGGTGTCCATAAAGTTTGTGTGCACTTTAAAAAAATTTATAACTTTATTTGTATTTGCGATAGAAACAATCTGTAAAAAATGTTATAAAGTTTAATGTACCTAGTTTTAAGTATAGCTAAAATAACTAATGTGATTTCAGGCATTACTGTAAATCAGTTGGCAAATGTTTTCCGTGAACAGCAAAATCGTATTACCCTTTGTATTGCTAATGATGGAGGACATGTGGAAACTTAAATAAAATTTCAATAAAACCTTAAGAAATATAGATTTACTTCTTTCTAATCCTTTTTACAAATTATTTCTATCGCAAATACAAATAAAGTTATAATTTTTTTAAAGTGAACACGAACTTTATGGACACCCTGTATAGCAATTTAAAATTTATTGCAGTTTTTCCTTCAATTTTGTATTACAAATTTCTGAAGTCACTATTCCCACCACCCACAAATGTACCCCATTTAGCTTTTTGTAAAACATTCAGTAATCATAGGGTTTTATTATATTCACACTTCCTGAATTAAAAAAAAATATCCACCATTTTGATTTTATTGAATTCACAAATAGGCCACAATTTAAATATTCAAGATTTATTACCATTTGCCAAAATATTTCAAGGCACATCTATAATTTAAATAATCTCTCAATTTGCAGAATATTTTGAAAAATATAATTCTTTCCCAAGACATTTTCATTTCCAACATATATCACAAATCATATATTTTTCATTTCATTTTTTTAAAAATTTTATTTTAAAATAAATATTAATATTTTTTTTAATAAATTATATTTTCAACAAACACAAGAAATAACTTTTACAACTTTCATATTCTTCTGAGTTAAAGATATGTACTTCAGTATCAAAGAAGAATCAGCAATATTATTGGTCCTGAACTGGCATTTCGGCTTCAGCTATTTTCCCATTACCGTAATGTTGCTTCCCTGTTCTTTTCTATAAATACTTTCATGATAATTATTTAGATGAGCTCATCGCTATGGTACCTAGACATTATGAATTTAAGGTCAGTACTAAGCTGGTGACAAGGTCTCATCAATTTACAATTGACTTTGCCTATACGTAAGCGTAAGTTCCATACTAACAATTTCTTTTCTTGCATTTCTCAATTATGGAACTCTCTCCCAGCTTCATGTTTTTTCAACAAACTTTGATCTTCAAAAGATATCAATGCAACTTTAATCGTTATATACTGTCTTCCTGATTACTCTTCTATTATTCTCACTTCATAGTAATGTTTTCTACTTCATACACACCCAGTAACCCCTTGTGTCTTAGTGGCTTTACTACCTTACTTGTGGTAAATTTGATAAAGAAATAAAGGCACACATTCCAAAATGTCTGGGTCAACTGAGATTTTTAAAATAAAATTCTAAGATGCAGATAAATAATCTTTTAAAATACTCTCCTCGTCTTTATACCGGCGTGTAGGGTTATAGAAGGCGATTATCACCTTTTGGAGGCGATAAGTCACGTGGGTAACGTGATGGACTCTAAATGACGTCACCACATACAGTGACGAAAGCGGCAGTGAATTTCAGTTTGTTGACAGCATTTTTACAAATTATTTCTATCGCAAATACAAATAAAGTATATATATATATATATATATATATATATATATATATATATATATATAGCAATGTCATAATAGAGTTCTAGATGGTTTCTCGTTAAGTATTACGTTGTTATTTTCTGACTGTACATTTGACGTGGAGACATTTTATCATTATTTATTTATTTTATGCTATTTCTAAGTCTATATAAAATGTAAAGGCAGCACATTTCTTTGCTTTGTGTCAGATCTCTTTTCCTTCATTTACGAAAAAAAATTCTCGTTGCTTCGAGACTGTTCGTTACGTTCCAACAAAAGATGTTTTAAATTATTTGTTTCCAGTGAGCTTTAAAAAGCTATCAATGCTGACAATATTTTTAAGTCGTGTGATAAAAAGGAAATTATTAATATACATTATATACAAGCACAGCAACATATATAATCAATGAAAAACAATAAGAAATACATATTTTTCCTTTTTCTTCCTGCCCCAAATCACAATCTGTAAGCAACACTGTCATGACATACCAAAGCAAAAACTGCAATAATTAAATAAATAAAAATGACTGTAAAAAATACACCAGGAAAGATCTTGAAGCACCTCAAAAAAAAAAAAAAAAATCCGAAAAATAGATTATAAAAAATATCAATTAACCAATAAATATCACGAGGAGTTGCTAACTACACCCTTGTGCAAATTAATTATACAGGAAGATGTGGAGGGCCATGGTAACCTACACCCTTGTGCAAAATAATTGAAACAAAACGAATAATTCCGTTATTATTTAATTTTTTTCGTATTTTACCAATGAAACATCACCCAGTGCACATGATAGTACTTCGCATGTCCATTCCATGAAATCGTTCCTTGCAGATTGACCACAGATTCTCGATTGGATTTAAATCAGGAGAGTTTCCGGGCCAATCTATAGTACTTTGATTTGCTCACTGGTAAAGCGTGCCAGTGTGTTCGTCCAGCGTTACAATTATTGTACGCTTCCTTGAAGTAACGTCCATAGCAAATAATGGCGGCAGGACAACTAATCGACCGTCGAGACAATAGTGTCTGGGCGTGATAAAAATCTGATGCAATCACGGATGGCGCAATATTTTCAAGGCCAAACAAATTTCATCATACACCCCGAAAATAAATTTATATTACTGCACACCACTGCAAATGACCTAATCTGAGGAAAAAATAGAAATCGATTACAACCTGTCACTCCAGTGGGTCTAAAACTGACTGTATGGTGAAAGAAGGAAACTACTAAAGCGGTTGTTTCAATTAATTTGCACAAGGGTGTACATACCACCCCCGCTTCAAACAATGTCACACTGGATACAAAGAGATTTTAACTAGATAGTTTGTTAGAGGTCTGCGACTTTTCTACAGAAAAGCACCTCCTCGTCCCAATTTTTTTTTCCATTTTTTTTCAACAACACTATCGATGATGCATTCTAGATCTGGAATATATATAAAATAAAAATAATAAAAGAAAAAAATTCTAAATTTAAAAATGGGTGTTCAGTTTTCAGTCTAAATTTATTGTAAATTGATCCCCCCTATGTTAACACCTCTCCCAAAATGAAAAGATAAACATAAGTAAGGTAGGCTTACGGTCACATCTCGTTGAAACACCGATTCCCGTATGATGACCATGGTTAAGCAACATCGAGCTTGTTCAGTACCGAGATCGGTGACCGTTTGAGAATACCAGGTGCTATAAGAATTTATTTTAGATAATAATGATTTAGTGATACAAGTCTTACTAATTAACCCATAGCTGGGGGGGCAGAAGAGATGGGTTCATGCCTTTCCCAAGGGAATTTGCGCGTAAATGAATATAATAAACCCAACTGGAATTGGAATTAACAATTCCGAGAGATTAGACATTACACCACCGAGTATTCCCATACTGACCAGGCTCGACGTTGCTTAACTTCGGTGATCGTACGGGAACCGATGTTTCAACAAGGTGTGGCCGTAAGCCTGTAAGAAACTGGTTTAAATAATCTAGATATTAACTTTTATTCTAATTTGAAATTATTTAATATTCTGTAAGGTTAGTAAAAATATGTTTCATCACATAATATAAACATTTTGTTTTTTGTGGGGGATCAATTTACAATAAAATAACATCGCAAATTAAACCCCCTTTTAAAATTAAAAAAAAAATCTGATCTTGAGTGCTTGATCGATAGTAGTATGAAAATAAAAAAAAATGATTATTTTTTCTAGAGGTGCATTACTATAGAAATACCGCAGCAAGTATTAATCATTCCATAATGCTGATCCATGTTTTAAAATATTATGATTATCGTCATGGCGCTGGGCAGCACGCATGTTAATAAAATGGACTAACATTTCATATCCACTTCTCAGGAGGTGAATAGAATTAATTTCACATTTACTCTGTTATTGCTCGTTATTGCCATCCTCCTTCTTCAAGTACTGGAACAGCCGTCAACCACCGGTAAGAGAAACCAGAATGCGTATCAACCGCATGTAAGCAGAACCGGTCTTTTTACACCACTGCGACTACAACCACGTGCTACCAAAATATCACTACTGAGTAACCGTAGCAGAGTCTCTATAAGTGGACCTGCTATACATATACATATTATATAACATACAAAGGTGTCTCAAAAAGTTACTTTCATATAGAAGTAGGCTTCAACTCTGATTAACTGTCACCTGTTCATAGTCGGGTTTAAAACATAACAAGTAAATGGAGGTAAATATATAAGTAAATAAGTTAACTATATAGGCATTTGAAGCCATAATATTATTTGAATTTATTAGTTGAAGCAATGTCAATTATTATTCATTTTGACCAGAATTTCAAAAATGAATTCTGTTACTTAAAAATATAAAAAAAATGGCTCAAATAAGCTATACTGGGTCTGCTGATCGAATTATCTATGCAGAGTGCGCCTATAGATTCATTCACTCTTATTATCTATGTAGGATCTGATCGAATTATCCGTGCAGAGTACATGTGCAGATTCTTTCAAACTTATTATCCGATGCTGATCTCCGTTTGTTATTTAATTTAATAAAGTGTGATGTTCCCGCTCTCTTCTTTGCATGAATGGTCATTGGTTAAGGAGACATAATTACTCATAGTGCCCACTTCAGATTTTTGTCTGAGTGCCACTTTTATAGGCTATAATGTTCTATCAGTACTCTTTGGGAAACTGATTGGGTTAGTAGTATGCTATTTTATTTAAGAAAGTGTTATAGAAATAAAAATAAAATAATTTCTGAAAGTTATATAAATCTGCAAGGTGAAGCATTAAGAAATTCTCACATTTACTTTAAGTTTTGCTTCTCCTACCGCATGCGCATTAATCTTTGCCTCCAAATATTCGCCACTAGACATTGCTAGAAATGCCATTGATCCCATCGTATATATTAATACGCCATAATTTATCAAGGCACCATGTTTAATTTTTTAAAGATATATATTTTTTATTGTAATTTGTTTGTTTTCTTGGAGGGTCTAATAACAACAGCCGAGACACAAAATATTGGAAACTGTTTTTTGACTTCAGTTTAAAGCAATCAATTTGTTAAAAAGTAATAGATGCTGCTCATTTATGCAAATCATGAAATCAACATCGATTTATATGGACTGAAAGGAAGGAAAGAAGGAACAAAGGAAGGAACGAACAAACGAACGAGGATGGAAGGGACCTATCTATAATTGGATCGGTAAATATCTTCGTAGTTATTTGCGATTGGAAAAAAGACGAAATTTATGACATTAAGAAGAGTTGTTAAGTGTGTATATATATATATATATATATATATATATATATATATATATATATATATATATATATAACATTATAACTTTAAATATCAATTTTTGATGTTGTTTTCCCGACTTCGGAGTTTCTTGGTAATGTCCATTCTTCAAGTGGTTATGTTTTTTAAACGTATCGTTTAAAAGATAGAACCCCTTGATGAATGAATATTACCAAGAAACTATGAAGTCGGGGAAAACAACAAGAAATTGATATTTAAAATCATATTTTTATGTAATATAATTAATGCTCTATTTTTAATATTATTTTTATATTTTTATTATTGACTACTATATACAAAAATATCTGGTGTTTCTTGAATTATATATATATATATATATATATGTATGCATGTATGTATATATGTATGTATTGCAGATATCCCCTGAAGAGTGGACGAACAGGTTCTATTAGAAAACTCTGGATTCGGGATGCGGGTGACAAATTTTAATAATTTAACAAACAAGACAGAAATACTACTAGTACTAAGAGAGGGGGGGAAGTTCTTGTGAGTGGAAGTGAGAGAAAAGACTGAATATAGAGACGATTGAGGAAAGAACAAAATATGAACAGGATTCAAGAAGATAGAAAATGGCGATTGACGTTACATTTAAATCTTTGAAGATTGTAGTTATCAGGGAAGCAAGTAAACGGAAGGGTGTTCACAGGCGGGAAGTACGAGAAAAGAAACTGTTGGAATAAAAGTGCAGATGCATTTGGCGATTTCAACAGTAAAAGGGCGGGACCTAGATGCCAATCTAGTAGCACGCTTAAATCCATGTGTTCGGGGCACCAGTGAATAAAGCTCATCAGAGCAGTAGCTATGAAAGTATTTGTAGAAATAGAGGGAAGTTAAGTCACGTGGTTGCGAAATTACTATATATATATATATATATATATATATATATATATATATATATATATATATATACCCAAGTATATGATTGGTATATACGGAATGGATTCAATAACCAACAAATACTATTCTTAAAAGAGTGCTCAATACAAAGTAGAGCAGATATAATTCTTTATTTAAAAATTTATAACATAAATATGTTATAAAATCACTACAAAAATAGCCTATAGCTATTTTTGTAGTGATTTTATAACATATTTATGTTATAAATTTTTTTAAATAAAGAATATATATATATATATATATATATATATTAGGGACCTCCACTAATTCTCGATACCTATTGAATTTTTTCAAATGAAAAATCGTTCTTGAAAAAGCTTTTAATTTAGCTTTAAGTGAAAACTAAATGCTTAAATTTCTAGTAAGCATATATATATATATATATATATATATATATATATATATATATATATATATATATATATACATATATATATATATATATATATATATATATATATATATATATATGCGTTTCTGAGTACCTATTGTTCAAATACTAAATTTAAAAAAAAAAGAAAAAGAAAATGAAATAAATGCTGTGTACACCGAAGCTTTTCATTGTGCTCAGGAAGAAAGAAAACTTTATTTCATCCAGGCCCATCGACAGTGCGTTTTGAGTGAGGGGTGCGGTTTTTAATTCCGTGAGGTTGCGAGTAAAAGTCTTTAATGCTAATTCATTTATATGAACACTCAGTTTGGGGAAATAGCCTCTGGTGCCCAGATTAAAAAAAAAAAAAGAGTCATAAATAACAAGGAACAATCTCATTTTATTTACAATTTTTTTTTTGGGAGGGGGGTGCAATAATACCTACGATGCAAAGTGAAACATTCTACTACGCTGGAAATGTGTTCGATGAAGGACTCATATTAAAAGAATTAGCAGACTAAAATTAGTTCATATCATGTTCACAGGGGGGGGGGGCGTGGTAAAGGATTTTCAGATTTACTTGGTTGCAAGCCTGGCTTTATCGTTTGTGTATTGCTTTCTGTCAGCCTGTCACGTATTTGAATATAATTAAATTATATTAGGGACCTCCACAAAAACGCATAACTGACGTTTAAAATGAATTTTTAATAATAATATATAATTTTTAATAATAATAATAATATATTATTATTATTATTATTATTATTATTATTATTACCTAACGACGACAAAAATAAACAAATTAAACCTTTATGATGATCATCAATGTCACAACAACAAAAATCAAAAGTTCAACAAATCAATGCTGTCTATGAATTCACTAAATCATTTCGTTGAGAGAATGTTTTTTTTCTGATAATGATTATAACGCTATTTCAGACAACATTGGTTACACAAACACTACATTATCGCACCGTTTAACGTGCCTTTTATCGGATAATAGCTCAATTACATCACATATCACCAACCAACACAGCAGCAAACAGAACAATCACAAATTCGACAAATCTCTATCAATATTACAAATATACTATATCACATAAACTTAGGTATTTTCATAAAAACGTGATACCTAACGTTTTAATAATGACAGATCTATGTTGAACCTTTTATTTTAAATTTTTAATTTAAAACTGATTGTTTAAATTTAAAAAACAAAAAATTAATATCTGATTTAGCTTCCTCTCCATTTTAAAGTTGTGATTTAGCTACCCGCTTTTAAATTTCTAATTCAGCTACCTCCATTTTTATTTTCTGATTTAGACCCCCGACAATTTTTAACGTCTGATTTATTAAAACCCCATTTTTAATTTCTGAATTAGATCATTATTTTAAACATTCTGTTTAGACCTCACCACTTTTAACATCTGATTTAGCATCCACCCCATCCGACTTTAACATCTGAGGTAGATATACCCGTTTTTTAACGTCGGATTTAGACTCTCCCCCAAGTTTTAACGTCTGATTTGACTGCTCCTACATTTAACGCCTGATCCAGCTACCCGCATTTTAAATTTCTTCAATAACTCCCCACCCCAACACTTTTAACGTCTGATTTACATTTCTGCTTTTAACATCTGATTCAAACCCCCAGTTTTAACGTTTGATTTGACTGCTCCCATTTTTGACGTCTGATTTGATTTACACCCCTCATTTTTGACGTCTGATTTGATTTACACCCCTCATTTTTGACGTCTGATTTAACTACTCCCACTTTTAACATCTTAGACCCCCACTTTTACCGTTTGATTTAACTGACTCCATTTTAAAAATCTGTTTTACTCCCTCCTCCAACACAAACTTTTAACGTCTGGTTTAGTTGCTCCCCATTTTAAATTTCTGAAATAGACCCCCCGATTTTAACTTCTGGTTTGCCACCCCCATTTTATTAGCAAATATTATCAAGCGGCACAAGTAATTAAGAGAATTATTTATATTATTTCCAGGCGGAATCTCAACGTTTCAGCCCTTGCGTCCTCCAACATCCATTAGTTGCTGTCAGATAATTTCGAACTGAACCTTAATCTAAGGGATTAGATTGTTCTCTTCCCTATCTTCTTGGGATATATCGTCTGGTTCTTATTTAGTACTGCTCAGTTATTGCTAGCCTCGTTTTCACTGAGTCAAAACCAGGAACTGAACTCACAATTACTATATCTCCAAATTCACGAACCAATACTTTCATTCCGTCGGACAATCATGAATATAGAACTTACAGCCTTAAACCTAATCTGCTTGTTGCTGAGATTACTGCTGCTGCTTGTCACGCTTAACTGAATTTGTCATAATTTCTCTTTTCTAATAATGCTGTTGTTGAAGCCTTGCTGTCAGTTCTTTTTCATTCTGTATTAACGGCTCCCATATTGTATTAATTTCTATGCTAGGTCTACTAAAGAGATCCTCACAGCACAGCATATGCAAGAGCGTGAAACTTGAAAAACGACTCAATCATTCATAGTGCGCTGACGCTGTTAAACATTCAAAGAAAAGCAAGACAGAAGAATAAATATATATATATATATATATATATATATATATATATATATCCATGCAAAATGAAAATGAGTCCAATTCCGACGTTCTTAAAATAAAGTATATATATATATATATATATATATATATATATATAAATTTCCAAGAGGATAGAATCCAGGGAGTACTTAAGGTCCAGGACAGAGTAATTTGTAGGTCTGATGATTTGGATCGTGATTACGATTCCAATGTAATAAATTATAACCATGTAATATTAGAGTTTGAGCCATTTATATTATATATATATATATATATATATATATATATATATATATATATATATATATATATATATATATTGTGGCTCCATATAAAAAAGTTCTTGCTATTTTTTATCTATGTGCTTTGTGTGTGAATGAATGTGTGCGTGAGTGACGGAGGGAGGGAGAGAGAGGGGGGGACTGAGAGAGAGAGACGGGGTGAGAATTAGTAAATTTTTATTTTATGTATATTTAGTGGGCAATTTTCAGTAATACTAGTTTCATTAGAAGTTACAAGGAAGAATATTTCGTAGTACTCAAGTAGACTGGTCCACTCGTAAGAAGATAGGAAAATCTTTTACAGAATTTTTTATAAATTAGCATTCTCTTAAACATTTCCTAGGCACACGACATTTGTCAGGATAAAATAATATTGATTTTTTTATCATCTTAGAATCCTAATATTGATATAATGAAAAATCGATACCTGATCTTTTACAGAGTGATTGGACTTCGAAGTTATTGCAGTCAGTCAGTTAAGTGCCATACGTGATACACGCTTGTGCGATATTGTCTCTTTCGATTTATGACTGACTAGGCAGAAGATATTCCCGCAGTAGGCTGCCGTTTCTTTCTGCGGTAGACTGGTTGCCAACCAAGGCTATAGGACCCAATCTGTCCTGTTATTCAACCCATGGCTTGGAGGAAAAGAGATGGTTTCATACCTTACTCAGGAATATTCGTGCGTAAATGAATTTAATGAACCCGACTGGATTTTGGACACGGCTATCCGCCTTCTCATTCGGAGCCGGTGAGCTGAGTTCGTATTCTAGTTAGGTACGTTATATTCACTTAGGCACAAATATCCTTGAGAAAGGCATGGGCCCATCTCTTCCGCTCGTAGCTATTTATTTACAAATGTCAAATTTGAAAGTGTGGCATTAATATTGATATCTTCATTTTTTTTTTTTTAATTTTCTGAATTTTTAAGACTTTTTATTTTCAAATTTTTAAAAAACAATTTTTAAAACTTTTTTTTTTGTATGGGATTTCTTAAATGAAGAATAATCGGATGTATACTTTTCTTAATTTATCCAATTTTTTGTACTTTAATTAACAATGTTTCCATCGGTTTGTTTTTTGTTTTTTTAAAAAGAAATCTTTTTTTAACCGCCCCTCAAAAAAAGTATGTTTACGTACGCAAAAATGCTAAGTCCAATAACTCTGTAAAAGTCTCAATTCGATTTAACACTGTATCGATATTACAAATAGGACGTCCCTTCTAAATCGATAAGAAATAAGTATCTTTTCATTCTGATATGTGTCGAGGCTTAATGATGGTTAAAAATGTTAATGTACAAACATTATTAATTTTTCCCCTATTTTTTAGGCGTGGACCAGTCTATTTAAATATGGCATTTACCTCATCTCCCCACTAAGACGTGATGTAACACAGGAAGGTCACGTTTACCTTGGGAAACCCAAGCACGTACACCCGGGCCTTAATTCAAATATTGCCAAATGCTTTTATTTATTTATTGTTAATGTTTCTTTACAAGTGAACAGATCGGTGGATAGTATATACAAGAAAAATTACATATAAAAATGTCTATAAAAATAACCGTAAATTAAACGGGTAATTTGCTTCTTAAGCGCCGCGCTAAATATGTAATACAATTTTGCCGAATAGTTATATGTACGTGTAAATTTACATGCTTAATTTGAAAATAACGATAAAATTTTGATAAAATCTACCGTTTAGAAGTTATCGACAATAAAAGTTCGGACTCATTCGCGTTACGGCACGGCAGCCATTATTGGCGTTGTTTGCATACATGCACTTCTGAGCAGATTTGCGCGGAAGATTACATTGTTAGCCGCCTTTTTACGGTTCTTACTTGACTGAATTACTGCGCAACTAAGGGCTCATTGCGTGCGCAATAAAAAAAAGGTTATTCCGCAGAAAATATCCGCAAACAACACCAGTAATGACTGCTGCGACGCGAATGAATTCGAATTTCTATTGTCGATAACTTCAGAACGGTAGATTTTATCAAAATTTCTTTGTTATTCCGAATTAAGCATATACATTTACACCTAAATATAACTATTCGGCAAATTTTTATTACATATTTAACGCGGGGCTTAAAAAAAACAAATAACCCAATTAAACAACTCAAAGTTGAATAAGTTGGTTTATTGAAGCATTGAATATTTTCAATAGGAGATTGATTAAAAAAAATAACATCTATAATTACGTATCTTTTAAATCTTCATTCATGAAGATCTTGAATGTTGAAAATGGGTGGAGGAATAACCGGAAGTCATAAAAAATGTATAGACCAATAACCGGAAGTCATGAAGAGTTTTTATAAACTCTTCACTGACACGCGTTCACTCGTAGTTACAGGTATGGAAATACATTATAACAATAAATAAACATTTTTTAACAATAAATAAACATTCCTTTCAATCAAGCTTTTGTAAATACTTACTTATTCTGCAAATTGAGACACCTTGTACGCATATACAGATATACATAAACTACGATTATACAATATCAACTAGGGATGCCAGATTTTTTTTTTTTTTTTGTTCATGGCATCACTTTACATATGAAAGGACTCTGATGTATGTGGGAACCAGCCCACTTCACGTCGATAGTGTAGCAACCGGGGCTGGACACTCGATATGTGACGTCATAGACGGAATCTTCACTGTAGATGACCGATGTCTCCAGGACTGTGTTGTTCGTACGCGGCCCCCGTATTCCCACAGTCAGGGGTCCTTGTCCACCTACGGTACGGACCTGAGAGAAAAATGGACATAGGTACAAAAAAAAAAAAAAAAAAAAAGATATAGAATTATTATTATTATATGGGAATTTTCCATCGAGAAAAAAAAATTTGTGGGTTATGAGGCGCACAAGAAAAGCAATGACTCTTTGTGTGAAATTGGACAGAAAGGAGTTGTTTATTTACAATAGGTTTATATGTAAGTAAAAAAAAGTATAAAGGTTTGCTCAAAATATTATTTTGAGCGTCAATTAAAAATTAAGCTAAGTAGAAAAATTGTAAAGTTGTAGTGGGTTGGTATTTGTTTTTCGTCTCGTATCAGAAGATGGTAATATCGCTGAACCATAATAAATAGTTGGAAAATTAAGGGTCAAATTCATAGAGTGACGAAAGCGGTTAGTCCCTCAGTCAGCTTCCAGGAGTCAAACCAAGCAACTGCTTTTTTTCTAGCCCGGGCTGAAGTTAAATCAGCTTTCTCCTGGTTAGCTGCCACGTGCTGCAGCTTACAAGCCCATGGCGCCATCTTCATATAGAAATATATATTCACCAAATATAGAAACTATCTCCGACTCGCATTCCTCAATTTGGGAAAAGCAATACTCGCTGTTTTCTTGTTTGCAGAATATGTCTGCACTAGTGACATAGCGGATAAATCCGTCCCGCTCGAATCTAGAATCTTAAATATGGCTTCTCCAGAAACACAGAAGAATCTCCGGCAGCTCTAATTCCTGTTGGAAATTATTACAAGTAAGATTCTTTCTTTTTGTCCATTTCATTCCGCTTGTTGTTGCATGCATGTTATAGTTTCTCTGTGTGGGACGAATGTAAATATGTGTATATAATTGTGTGTATGAGAACAAAACATGTTTGCCATTGCTTTCCTTTCAGCTCTTCCGTTCTGTCCGGGAAATAAGGTGTTATAATATCATAGATATAATAATATCCATAATGGATGAAAATAAAAACAGGAGAATATCTATTTCTTTCATAGCTCACTTCTTAGTTGTGCTTGGTCCAATGTTATGACTACTGGCGAAGCGTAATTTTCATTGACCGGCTATCTTGTTTGTATTTGAAGGTCTTTTTTACAAATTATCGCGGGTTTCGAAATTCCGTTCTTCTGATTGGTGGAAAATAACCCAAAAGATTAGTTTTCCCTCTTTTTTTCCAGAACATTCGATTTTTATTGCCCTGAGACAGACAACAGTTTCAAAGTGATGGTTTATCAAGAAAAGTCTTTTCCGAATACGCCATTGGTTAGTAAAGTATTTGCTCTTAGGTAATGGTACGATAGGGTCAAACCGATATAATAAAACCATAGTTATTTGGGTCATTACTATTCATTTTATTAAGCAGGTTATTTTTATCGTAATTTCGGATAAGTTTTTATCATAATTTATAATTTTACATACTATTATAATTAGGCTTGACCTTCTCTTACGTCCTGTTAATATCTCGTAAATAATGGACTATTCCGTTTTGATCACATAGAAAGAGGGTTACAGACACTACTTAGTTTAAGTAAGAAAGAAAAAAAGAAGGGAAAGTAGAAGTGTTTAACTTCTCCTGACAATACCTCATAAAAAATGGACTATTCCGTTTTGATCACGTGGAAAGAGGGAAAAAGACACTACTTGGTTTCAGTGAGAAAATGAATGGATGAAAGAAAGTAAGTAAGTAAGAAAGAAAGAAAGAAAGAAAGAAAGAAAGAAAGAAAACAGGGAAGATTTAACGGCTGTTTCAGTGAAATGAAAGAAGTTGTCAATTTAAAATCTTTTCATTTGTACCCCCTTACTTCTTAAAATAACGACCCGCATTCATATTTATGATTGTTATTGCAATAAGTTGTTCACCTCAAATATTTAACGATGCGATAGGATAATTTCTACGGATATTTTATTGTCGTAAAACTTGTTATGAGCTTATTCAACCATTAACTGAAGAATTAAGATTCATCAGAATATTAAAATGGAAGAGCCGTGAAATTTAGTTATTTTATTAAAATATAAAATGAAATCATTTATTATGATTATGGTTCATTTAACTCCACAGCAGCAGTACCCAGCGTTGCGCAGCTGTGGCCTTAGTGTGGTTAGGCCTTAGTTGGTCCGCGTCCACATATCGATATGAATTCCAAGAAACATGAGAAAGATTACTAGAATTACTACAAATATTACGGCTATGAAATCTAAAAGATGGATGTATTTATGTTCTGTATCGATATTAAGTGTGTGTGAGTAGCAAACATTGTGATTGGCGTGTCGTTTGAAATTCCATCCGAACCCGTTGCGTTCGCTATCGTATAAGCACCCTTGGGAAGGTGTATATCCACTTTTCTTCCAGCTAGGAGTTAATAATAGAGCCGTTTATCTAGCTTTGGTTGGCAACCAGTCTAAGAGAAGGACAATTCTGATTTAAAACCGTCTGTGAGGCCAGCATCTGCACCCTGTAAAAACTTACTTTCTATAGGAACCGCAGCAGCAGTACTCAGCGTTGCGACGTTGTGACCTTAGTACGGTGAGACCGTGGCCTTAGTTTGGTGAGTTTGTGAACCTATTTCTATAAACTCCACAGCAGCAGTAACCATCGTTGCGAGGCTGTGGCCTTAGTGTGGTTAGGCAGTGGCCTTAGTTGGTCCGCGTCCACATATCGATATGAATTCCAAGAAACACGAGAAAGATTGCTAAAGATGGCAAAATACTAAATGTAATCGAGAGATGATGAAATGGTGAATGGCGGTTCCTTCTCTGATTTAGAATTTACCTAATTCGAATATTGATAGATTGATTTCGTTTTATGACTTACCAATCTTTATGGGTTCTTTAAGACTGAAAGATTTTTTGGATTGGAATAATAATTCCTTTTTACGAGTAAATATTGCATGAAATCTTTTTGATAATAACAATGATTTTTCTAGATACAAGTCCTACTATTTAATCCAATGAGGAGGGTGTTGAATTCATACATTTCCCAAAGTGCGTAAGTGAATGTAACGAGCCTGACTTGAATTCGAACTCGGCTCTCCGATTTCTCATTTGCAAGCTACTAACCCAATTAGGATGGCCAGGTAAATTTGTTAATATGAAAAGGTTTTCAACTCATTTAACAATAGTTAATAAATAAATAGAAATAAAATAACTACGTACACCTTTATATTTTTTGCTGTGTTTTAAGAAAGATATTAAGTATAAAATGAAATTTCGTAATTAATAATAGGGTTGTTAATGTAACGGTTGCCGAAGGGCCCGGTATATGCGTTACCCGGCTTAGATACCTCGCTACTTAGTAGTTTATGGTAACAAGAATAATAGTACAGTATTTACATTGTTCGGACTATCGTCCTCATCTTGCGTCCTAGTGGCTTTATTGTCTTGCTTAGGCTGAAGCGATTAAAAAAAAAAGAATTCCGTAGAGACAAAATGCAAAAATTCTGTCAAAAAAAAATAAACACTCGTCATCATAACAATTTCAGTTTTATTTACAATTGATAAAAATCAAACTCTTTTCATTCATATATTTTTCTAAATCTGTGATATCACGGGTATGATTTATAAAATAAACACGCCAGAACTTTCATTCAAATGCTTACATATAGAACATATATATACTAAAAGCAGATGCCGATAGATGAACAGAGATCTCAAATGAAATATTGGGTTGGCCAAAAAGTTCTTCGGTTTATTTAATTATATTTTAATCATTTCCTCCCAGACAAAGCAGGAATTCCACTAGTACGCAGGTGCTTACAGGGAGTGAAAGTGAGAGAAAAGACTGGGTATAGGAAGAATTGAGGAAAGGACAAAAAATGAACGGGATTCAAGAAGATAGAAAATGGCGATTGACGTTCCATTTAAGGTTTGTTAATCATTTCACCCCAGACAAGGCAGGAATGCCAGTATTACGCAGTAGGGGGTTACAGGGAGTGAAAGAGAAAAGACTGAGTATAGGGAGGATTGAGGAAAGAAGAAAAGATGAACGAGATTCAAGAAGATAGAAAATGGCGATTGATGTTGCATTTAAGGTCTGTTAATCATTTCAACCCAAACAAGGCAGAAATTCCACCAGTACGCCATGGCTTACACGCTTAAGCGATCATGTACCTTTCGATACAGACGAGGCAGATCTTTTGCTGCAGTTGGTTGCCATTTCTTTCTGTGGTAAACCAGTGGCCATCCAAGGCGATAGAACCCGATCTGTCCTGCTATTTACCCATATTAAACCTATATACAAAATATTTAAAAGTGCTCTTAGATTGTGAATATTACATTATCCAGTCATAACAATCTGTGTAGGTCATTTAACAAAGCTATGAATGAATAAGGATGATCGTATTGGCTGAGTATAGATATGAATTTAACGGTTTAACCTCAAATTTTATAATCTAAAATTTATTTGTTTTATTGATTAATTCATATTCTGCGGTTTATCAACCCATTTGAAGGCTATTTAAAGCCAGAACATATTTTTATATTGTAAGAACTTTTTTTTATTCTCATTTTAGATAAAAATTGTTTAGTGATACAAGTCTTACTAAATATCCCATAGCTGGGAAGTGGTGTAGAAGTGGCGGATTCATACCTTTCCCAAGAGTATTTATCCTAGGTATGACGATAAACTACATCCAGCAGCAAAGCATCTGATCAAGAAGTTTTGAGGAGTGTGGAACCATCTCTTAATTGTTGTTGTTCTCAGGTCCACCCCGACCCGGGGTGGTAGCATCTGTTAGGGTCCCAACTATGGGCAAATAGTTTTCCCCCAAACTGGTGTCAAAACACTATGAAAGTATAAAAATATATTTTTGCAAGGGAAATTACTAATGCTTCCAAGAAAATTAAGTTTTGGCATTAAATGACCCATAAAGATTTGATATGCCGCTAAACAAATGAACAAAGCCAGGGTATTTGCGCGTAAGTGAACCTAAAGAAACAAACGGTAGTTGGAACTCGGCTCTCCGATTAACAATTATCTATTCCGAACCATTATCTATTACACCACCTGCACATCCGAATTTACAGCACATGATATTCCCATTCCCGTCGCCCATCTAGGACTGACCAGGCTCGACGTTGCTTAAACTCAGTGATTGTACGGGAATCGGTATTTCAACGTGATATGGCCGTAAGCCTCTAAAATTTATTTGGGCATGTTACGACGTTCAGTCTGTATACTATGCTTTGAAAATAAAATAAGGACAAATCGTCATTGAATTTACTGATGGAACAGGGCTATTGTAAGTATGATGTAAACGTATTATTGTCAATGTTATTTTTTATAGAATACATTGAAAATCAGGAAGAAAGCTATGGCCTATTGTCAGGAATTAATGTAAACATTACTAACAGAAGAGAACTATTCATTCCATAATGAAAATGGATTGTTAATAGCTTTATTCATTGCAAATCAGGAAGAAATAGATTGTCTGTAGTCAGAGTTACTGACAGAATACTGTTATTATATGTAAAATATAACTGCATTCTTAATATTTTTATTATATAATTTTTCTTTAAGCAAGGCGGGAGTGCCACTAGGACGCAAAGGGTTACAGAGAGTGTGAGCAAGAGTAAAGAGGCGTGATAGAGGAAAGAATGAAGAGAAGGACGGGAAATTAGATCAATGCATCTGGAGATGTCGATTGACATTACATTTGAATAGTTAGAGATTATAGCTATCAGTGAAGCAAGTAAGAGGGAGTTCCACAGGCGGGAAGTGCGAGATATGAAGCTATTGGAGTAGAAGAGACGGCTACATTTAACCGTTTCAACAGTGAAAGGGTGGGACCGAGATGCCAGCCTAGTTGCACGTTTAAATTCATGCAATCTGGGTACCAGTGAAAGTAGCTCGTCGGATCAGTTACCGTGAAAGTATCTGTAGAAAAGACAGAGGGAGACCACGGCACGTCTGTGAGAGAGCGACTGTAAACGAGATGCCAGATCAGGGCCTATCACATTGCATATCCGTCTCTGGATTTTGTCGAGGACCTTAAAACGAACAGCGAGGGCACCAGGCCATATATGAAAGTAGTATTCCATGCAAAGGCGAATGGTTGATTTATAGATTTGAAGGATGGACTCGAGCGAGAATAACTTTCTGGCGCGACACAGAGAACCAACTTTCCTTGCTGTAGATGAAGCTATTGATTCAATGTATTTGTTCCATCTCAGGTCAGCGGACAGTGTGAGACCAAGCAGCTGCAAAGAGGTGCTCTTGTGGAGTTGAGCATCAGACATGGGAGGCAAGGAGGGTTCTATGTGGTGGGTAATAAAGAGCAGATTTGTTTTTGAGGCATTAAAGTTAATCATCCATTTTCTGCCCCAGTTCACAACCGATTGGAGGTCTTTTCGAGACTAACGGTCAGGTTAGTTTTGTCAGCGATACCATATTTCCTTTTGAAGCAGGGGTAAATCGTAATGTCCTATCCATAGATGCCTACTTGGGAATTGATGACATTGGGAAGATCGTTAATGAAGATAAGGAACAGTGTAGCACACAGGGGAACACCTGCGTTCGGGAGAAAGGAACTGGAGGAGAATCCGTTAAGGACGATCTTCCTTACACGATTTGACAGGAATGATTGTAGTAAGTCAAATAATAGTCCTGAAATACCTTATCCCTGAAGGAGGCCGACATGTAAAACCCTGTCAAACGCTTTAGATATATCTAGATCCACGACACGAGCTTCTCCGTTATTGTGAAGTGCTTGGTAAACAAATTAAGTTATGGCCACGAGCACATCAGCTGTAGATAGGACAACTACCACTCTTTGCTGAAGAGCGGTAGGAGACTTTTAAGACGGTAGTTAGATGGATCAGAAGGGTCGTCAGAGTTCTTAAAGACAGGTACAACAGATGAAGACTTCTAACAGGATGGAAAGCAGGAGTCGTTGAGGCAGTAGTTGTATAGTTTGGAGAGGACAGGAGCCAGTTCAGGAGCACATTTCTTCAGGACAATGGCTGGTATCCCATCCTCACTGCAAGACATGGGTGTCTAATTTAGAGATGATGCCCATTACCAACGATGGGGTTATATGCAACACGCTCAATAGAGCCTCCGTTCTAGAGGTGGGATTTGGGTATGGGTACACCGGACGAGTCGAGCGTTGAATTGGATGAGAATTTCCGAGCAAAGCACTCGGCCTTATCAGCTGAGGAAGTCAGAATCTAAAAATTGGTTGAATAAAGGAGGAATTTTGGGATTTGCTGTTGTTTTGTACGCTCTTGCAGAGACGCAAATAATCTTTGGAACCGACTTTGCGAGATGCAATACGTTGTTTCATTCTATCAGCAAATAATGACTTTGCTTCATTGAGGACAACGCTGCACTCGTTACGGGCTGAAATAAAGAGACGTCTGTCGCAATCTGACATGTAAAGGCGGAAGAAGTGATTCCTATGGGCAATGGCAGATGAGCAAGCAGCAGAGAACCAAAAGGGATGAGCGCGATTTAACTTTATATTTCTTTGCAGGGATGAAAGCCATGATTCCAGCTTTTACCCAGGAGGAGATCTCGGAAGCGCATTCTTGAACGGGGAGATTAAAGACCACATTCCAGGGGACATCCCGAAGGAAATCACGGAACGAATCTTAGTCAGCTCGTTGATAACAGAAAGATGTTCTGTTGGTAGGAGGTTCTTTGTTTGTGGTAGAGTAGAAGATGTTGACAGACACTAGAGCATGATCAGAGTTACCAAGAGGGCATAGCTCCGTGGCACGAAAAAACTCGGGGATCGAGGTAAAACAGAGATCGAGAAGGGAAGACTTACCGTCCTGGTTATTGGGGAAACGTGTGACAAAGACAACCATTTGTGTGAGGGATTGAGTAATTGAAAAGTTAAGGGTTCGTATGCCAGCAAGGTCAATTGTAGAGTTTTTAAATTTAAAAAGAAAAATAATTGTTAATGATCAAAATTTAATATTTGCAATATATATAGGGTAGGAATATTAGAAGTTAAGGAAAGTGCTTTGCAAAGTGTTTCACTACAGAATTGAAGCAAATCAGCAAGAAATGCAATGCATTTTTATAGCAAAACTATTTGCAATGCATATTATAGTAGAACTATTTGCAATGCATTTCTACAGTAGAACTATTTGCTATGTAATTGTATAGTAGAACTATTTGTTATGCACTTCTATAATAGAACTATTATCAATGAATTTCTATAGTAGAATTATTTGCAATTCATTTCTCTAGTTGAACTATTTGCAATGCATTTCTATAGTAGAACTATTGCAATGCATTTCTATAATAGATCCATTTGCAATGCATTTCTATAGTAGAACTATTTGCAATGCATTTTTTATAGTTGAACTAATTGAAATGCATTTCTATAGTAGAACTATTTGCAATGCATTTCTATGGTTGAACTATTACCAATGCATTTCTATAGTTGGACTATTTGCAATGCATTTCTATAGTAGAACTATTTGCAATGCATTTCTACAGTAGAACTATTTTCTATGTAATTGTATAGTAGAACTATTTGCTATGTACTTCTATAATAGAACTATTTGCAATGTGTTTCTATAGTACAACTATTTGCGTTAATATATTGTTAAAGGTTTTATTATAGAAATACATTGTAAATCAAGAAGTAAGATATTGTTTGTAATCATGAATTAATACATGGCTTGCTGATAGAATTGGGCTGTTAGCTGCTTAATGGAAATACATTGCTAATGGCTTTACTATAGAAATTAATTTCAAACTAGGAAGACATTTTTCAGAGATCAGGAAAAGATGGCGATTGTGTATTTAACACACAGGATTCCAAACATTTAAAAAAATAAAATAAAATAAATTGCCTTTGGGATTCAAAATTCTGTAATATATCTAGATATATCCAGCGTTTTGTGAAAGAAGCAACTTGGCAGAGAAAATAATTACACATTTCATTTAGTCGATGTTCAAACATCACCTGAATGACGTGCACGCTGACATCGATAATTCTGAAGCCGATTTTCAAAAGAGGAAGTTCGTTTACATTAACAGTTGAAGTACCTATAGATTTAGGGCGTTATGATAAAAAGCAACAATAATGCGATTGGGTAAAAAAAGTAATGATATAATAATAATAATAATGAAGATTCTTCGGTCTATACCGTTGAGATATAAAGAAATAATAATATGATCGAATAAAACTAGTAATAAAATAATAGTAATAATGAAGAATGTATAGAGCCAGAGTGTTGGGATAAAAAGCAACAATAATAATAAAACTAGTTATAAATAAATTAATAGGAATACTCAATAGTATATTGGAACAGACTGATTGATTGCTTTTTGTAGTTTTTTTTTTAAAGCCAAATGATATTTTAGATTGTAAGAATCTTTTGAAGATAATAATGTTTTACAGATACAAGTCCTACTAATTAACCCATAGCTGGAGGGGAGAAGAGGTGGATTCATAGCTTTCTTAACTGTATTTGCACATAAGAGAATGCAACGAACCCGGCTGGAAATGGAAATCGAAAAGCCGATTTCCAATTCCGATACGTTATCCATAACACCACCCGCATACCCATGCTTACAGCACCCGGTATTCTCAGACTCTCACCCATCTAGGTATTGACCGGGCTAAACGTTGCTTAACTTCAGTGATCTTACGGTAACCGGTGTTTCAGTGTGATATGGCCGTAAGTCGAGTTTTCAATAGTAATAATAAAAATATTAAAAAAAAAAAACATTTAAACATTGTGCTGAGTATAAAACAATGAACATAGAAATATTCTTTGTAGGCAATGAGTGGAAGAGGAAGCACATCATTAAATCAAACAGAGATAATAAAAATTATTTTGGGCTTCTCACAGAAGAATTTGTATTAGCCCACTTTGATTCATCTTGTTATTTGGGCAAGACTAATTAAACAAAGGTTTAGGGCCATATCGCGTTTAAACATCCGTTCCCATACAATCACTGAAGTTAACCAACTTCGAGCCTGGTCATTACCTTGATAGATAGATAGATAGATAGATAGATAGATAGATAGATAGATAGATAGATAGATAAACAAGCTATGATAAATAAACAAATATGTGATAGATAGATCGATAGATAGATAGATAGATAGATAGATAGAAATGTTTTTAAATCTTCATCATAGGTTGTTAATTAGATATTCCGTTTTTCTATTGCACCAACGAGACTGTCATTTGTATTCTAATGGTTTCTTATCTCGCCTTGTAGAGAGATAGATATGAAGAGAATGAGATAGATAGATAAACAGGCTGTGGTGGAATAACAGATGATGGCGTTTTACGTTGCATTTAAATATTTGAATGTTCTAGGTGACAGGGAGGCAAGAAATCGCACCTGATTTTCACAGGCGAGAATTGCGAGAAAAGAAAGTATTAGAATAGAACTGAGGGTTTCATCTAGCTAATTCAACAGTAAAACAGTGAGGCCTAGTTACCAATCTAGGAGCACGCTTAAATTCGTGAAGTCGAAGTACTAAAGAGAACAGATCATCAAAACAATTGCCATAAAAAATATTTGTAGAAAAGACTGAGGGAAGTCACGTCTGTGGTGGTTGTTCACAAGGATATGAATAAAAAAGAATCGCCGTAGTGTCAGAGCTTTGCAATTTAAATGATTTAAACATCGAATTTTAAAACTTTTTGCCTTAAAATTTGTTTGAGCCAGTATGTCTTACATGAAAAAATTCGGCAATGGTTAGAGTTACTGATAGAATAGTGCTATGAAATAATGGAAAAAATAACTTTGATTTGGCTTTATCGAGAACACATTACACAACTCATAACGATATCTATCATATTGTCTCATATTTTGTGTCGGCAAAAAAGAGTTGTTTATGTTTTCGACTTTAGATGGCATTAGAAGCGTTTAGTTTTAACTATCTTCAACCAAAAGGATCGCTATTGTAATGGCTGTCATCGTTCAATTAAAAAAAGTTGTATTTTTTGTTCATTCATTCTAACGTCGTCGATTTTTAAAAAAAAATAAATGTATTTTTGGTATATCATACTTAATTTTAAATTCAAACGCACAAAGGTATGTGAGGGTTATGGAGAACGTATTGTGAATGATCGTACGTGCTAAAAATGGTTTGCAAAATTTTGTCTTGAAGATTTCGCAGTGAACAATGTTCCATCGTCAGGCAGACCATTTGTCACTGATGGTGATCAAATCAAATCATTGCTTAACGATAATCAACGATATAAAAGAACAGAAATAGCTCTCATAGTGAAAATATCCAAATCACACGAATCATTGGAAAATCATTTGCATTAACTTTTTTTATGGTCATCGCTTTCTTGGGTGGCTTCAACATAAAGTTGGGCAAAAATAAGATAATAAAAATACTGAACTTTATTACGATAATACAATCCAGTAGCTTATTTATTTTATTTTATTTTATTTCGATTCATTACTTAAACGCAACGAATATGTTATTTTTTTGGAAAAAATACGACAGGCAATGCAAAGTGGATACTTTACAATAACGTAAAATTTAATCGCTCGGGCGGTAAACGTAATGAACCACTACTAATCGTACTAAATGCTGATCGATACCCAGAAAAGTAATGTGGTGTATATGATGGGATTGGAAGGGGCTCCTCTTCTATGGTCTCTTTTCAGGATGGTTTCTTTTAACGATTCATTCGGACAAGCACGGCTTCCAAACTAACTCACTGAAGCAGCTGGAATTAATTAACACAGCACGCATAATATTCTGTCTGGATTACATCGCCTGTATCTGGTCACCACGTAAAACTGTTACAGATTGACTGCGAAATTCGGTTCCATCTTTTTTATTCGGCAGGTATTGGTCCTGTCTTTTATTATTTTTTTTTATCGGTTTATGTTATATAGGAATAAAGTGCCGCTGCCGACACATGAGTTTGAACATAAATCGCCAGTGAGCAAACACAGGCGATCCGATTATTGAATTAAATAGACACTGTAACCAAAGAGGAAATGCAAATATGGGAAGTAGCGTGACGTCTAACTGATCGCTATTTCTAGTCTATCCTCTATTACTATTCAGATCATTTCTACTCTTTCTCTTCTAAAATAGATTGATTATTATTGATTGATTCTTTCGAATGTCCTCCTTTCTTTTGTTGTTTTTATTCCAACGTTTCATCCACTATGCCTTATGTTGTATTCGGTAAGCTTCCAGGAACACCGAAGTGAGATTTTATATTTTATTTGAGGATATATTCTTACGTCTTGTTTTTCAGTGGGAATTCCAGAACCTTTCTTTGCTGAGAATGATATATCGTTCCGCGAGGAACAGGGAATATTCGCGAAACGCGATGAAGGATCGTGAATGAAAATTGCAAAGATGGTGTTTAATAAAGTTACCATAGAAAATAAAAATAAAATACCTTTCAGTATCTGTCTATATTTCCGAGATGAGGAATTATGTACACTGTTTATATTATTAGGACTATTGTCCTCATCTTTGTCGCCATATTTATTACAACGTTTCGGCCGTTGTACGAGATGAGGAATTATGCACACTGTTTATATTATTCGGACTATTGTCCTCATCTTTGTCGCCATATTTATTACAACGTTTCGGCCGTTGTACGCCCTGGCCTTCTTCAGTTGCTTGGGATGTCAAACTGAAACCTTTATTTCACTCGCTGGGGTAGACTCTTCTAATCCCTCGTGCCATGTCTAATGGATGTCAGTTATCTCCTGTTAATTCCCCGCCTTAACCAGCTATTGAACTCACACTCTTCACTGGATCTAACTAACGCCTTTATCCACTGTGCCATGTGTCCTTGAGGACATCTGTGTATGAATTTCTGGGTATTATAAACCTAATGTCTTCAGCAACCATTTTTTTTTAAATAAAAAAATAATTAACACTATTTATTTATTAGATTGTTTATGGGAATGGTTGGCAAAATATCGGCCAATTGATTCAAACTTTATAAAATGGTAAATAATAAGGATATCCATATAGTCCGTTCGCATATTTTAATAATGTAGTAAATGTTTATACATTTATAAATAAAAATTTTTTCATATTTATTTTTTATAAATTTATAAATGATAAATATTGCATTGGAATGTTTGTATATAAAATTATTCTTGTAAATAAACAATCAAATAAATAGTGTTAAATATTTTTGTTGTAAATTCTCATAAACTAAAAAATGTATAAATTCTCGTTGGTCATCTTTCGGTTTTATTACAATTTTAATGATCGCATTTTAAAACAATAAACATTACCAAGGAATGCAGGTAATTAAAATAATAGCGGTGTCTACGGAAAAACCGTCCTTTTGACACTACCATTTTTGCGGGCACGAAGGTCCAAGTTTGCCAAAATTTTCATAGAAAATCTTTTGAAAAAATTCTTTAAAAATTCTTTATTACAATTTACAGCTTCTTTAACCAAGATTTTGCATCAACAGGAAAACATCTCAGAAATTTTACAGTTTATATATACAATTGTAATTTTGTAAAAATAGAAAATATTTAAAATTTCCAATGTAAAGATTCAATATAACGATTTTAGATGCTGGAACATCCCAAATTGACAGCAAATATCTAATGTTGGCGGGAAATTTTAAAGTTGGCGGGAAAATTTTAAATCAATTTACAACTTAAATATTCCATTTAAAATTTATATTTTTTGTAATTTCCGCGATTAGATGTTGTTATTACAGTTCATTGATTCATTCGGACCAGTTTCCTCATCTTTGTTGTCTTTATCACAATGTTTCGGTCGCTGTACTCTCCGGTCGTCTTTCTGTTTGAATTTCTGAAACGAGACGTTGTTACTATTATACATTGATTATTTCAGATCAACTTCTACGTTTTCGTTGTCTTTAACACACTATTTTTACCGGGAAACCATCCAACCGGGAGTCTGTTCAACAAGGTAGTCTTTCTTGGGAAGAAGCTGTCCGAATGGGACTTGTTCCTTACTAATGGAATACGGAGAAAATTAGGATGATTCATCCTTGGGTTTGTGGCATGACGGGTCCCACCTGCAAAGGTTACTGGTGCGGCACAATGAACCGACTATTTTAAAAGCATCTTTCGAAGTAGATCGTATATATGAATTTCATTTTAGGTCTGGGTTCATCTTGAGTCCCAATAGACGTTCAAGTAAGGTGCTTCTTCGAGAGAAGGCCAATTCATCAAACAGAACAGACCTGGAGTATATAAAAGCAGGAACAGATATAGTGCCAAGATCAGAGGAAAGTTAAGGATGAGTTCATATAGTTAGAATGGGTCGTTTTTTTAGCCATAATCTCTTGGAATTGGACACTCAGAAAAGCAGGGAGGTACTAGTCACCTTTCCACCGTCATAATGTAGCTTCTCTGTGTCTTTTCTATAAATACTTTTATGGTAATTGTTCGGATGAGATTTCCTATATGATCATCAGTTTCTTCCATCAAGTTAGCTAGCGAATGTATTCTCATTGGCCTCTTTTATTTCTGTCCCCACTTTCTTTAGTTTAATTCCCCCCTCTTATCCGCCGTTAGGTGAGAGAGATGTCAGTTCTCTAGTAGATGCATGGCACTTTTCATATTCCGATTGTTCTTAATTGCCTAGTCCCGCATTAATTTCGTCCAGTTAACTGATTTTTGTACCACAATTAAGGAGTGTGTGTGTGTTTTTATTACTAACACTGATTCGTTTAGTTTATTGTATATAAATTGTATTCATTGTAAAAATTCATTATGGTTTCATTTTTAAATGTTATTTTTATCCCCTCCCACCAGAGATAAATTGTACACATAGGGACTAGTTAAGACTACACAGAGACTTGAGGTATTATGGTGGCTGTAGTAAGAATGGTAAGTAAGAATATGTTGTTTTGGTGTAAGGAATACTGTGGAATGTTTGGGTCAGTAATTGTGGCTAGCTAAATTTAAGATAAGACCAACCTTCACTTATCCCCACTTTTGGCCGTCTGCCACATTTTTGTATCTGCAAAATAAATATTTCCTTTCCTCTATGGTACCTAGATTTTATGAATTTAAACGCAGTACTAGATTGGCGGCTAGGTCTCATCATTTTACAAATGAAATGGCCAAGGATTTTCTTTGTGTCCAACTTGTAAGTTTATTTATAAATCTATAAGACTACCATTTTATTCGCCACCCTTACAGACAAATTGTACATATGAGAACTAGTTAGGACTTCATAGAGACACTGAGGTATTATGGTGGTTGTAGTAAGAATGGTAAGTAAGAATGTGTTGTTTTGGTGTAAGGAATACTGTAGTATGTTTGGGCCAGTAATTTTGGCGAGCTAAATTTAAGATATGAGAGCCTTACCCTATCCCCTTTTGGCCTTGTGTCATATTTTTGTGTTACTACAAAATAAATATTACTTTCCTTTAAAATACCGACATTACGAATTTAAGAACAGTACTAGATTGGCGTCAAGGTTTCATCATTTTACAATTGAAATAATTAGATGGAATTGTAAGTTCTATGGTAACAGTTTTTCTTGTAGTTTTTCTTGCAGTTTTCGCTTGTGGAACTCTCGACTGTCTTCTTACATTCCAGATCTCCAAAAATTTAAATGCAATGTCAATCGTCATCTTCTTTCTTCATTCCTGTTCTTTTATCGTTCTCTCTCCTTAATATTTTTTCATATTCTCTCACATTATTTTTTCATTATTTTTTTTTTTTTTTCATATTCTTTCACGTTCAATAAACTCCTTAGGGACTTTATTGCCTTGTTTGATGTGAAATGATAAAAAAAGCTGATACGGATGACCACGCTTTCTGACTGTCTGAATAATGGGGATAAGAACAGCAAAAATTAAGATGAAAGAAATTCTAGCAAATATAATCCATTATGGTGGACAAAGCTTTATCAAATAAAACTTGATATTGTCAATGAGTGAATCATTGTATAATAGCAAGACAACATCTCAGAATTTCAAAGAATTTCGACGATATCAAGTTGAAACACCAGTTCTCGTACGATCACCGAAGTTAGGCAACACCGAGCCTGGCCAGTACCTAGATGGGTAACCGCTTGGCAATACCAGGTGCTGTAAGCTTGGATATGCGGGTGGTGCAATTGATAACGGCTCGCAATTAGTAATCGCTGAGCTGAGTTCCAATTCCAATCGCGTTCTTTATATTCACTTACGCGCAAATACCCTTGGAAAAGGTATGAATTCACCTCTTCTCCTCCAGCTATGGGTTAATTAGTAGAAATTGTATTAGTAAGTCATTATTATCCTCCTCTCCCCAAAGTCTAACAATCTAAAGGTATTTTCTGGTTTTAAATAACCTGCAAAGGGTTGATAATCCGTAAAAAACAAATCAGTCAATCTATGCATCACAGCGTGGAAAGGTATGAATCCATCTCTTCTCCCCCAGCTATGCGTTTAATTAGTAGAACTTTATCAGCAACTCTTTACGATATACCTCTCTAAAAATAAGAAAGACTTTTACAATGTAAAATATTTTCTGTTTTTAAATAACCTGCAAAGGGTTGATAGTTCGTAAAAAATCAAATCAATCAATTTCATAAATTCAGACAGAAAGATATTTGGAGAGTATAACAATTTAAATTCTGAAATAAACTCATTAAAGATAAGGAAACTGATCGATAAAAAAATCAATAGATAATTGTATCAATATTTATATTAAAAATAATTTTGTCACAACAAATTAGTCTTTGGTTAAACTCATAAGGAGAAGGTAATGATTTGTTTTTTCTTATTCAATTAAAATTCTGTTAATCGGGAGACATTTATTCAATCTCTACAACAAGACGAGCCTGAAAGAATTAGAGCGTCAACCGGGACTGAGTATCAGGGACCATAATCTTAACAACATACAATAAGAGGATGACAAGGCAATAAAGCCACTAAGACGCAAGGGGGTTACTGAGAGTGAAAGAAACAGAGGACAATAAAATAACAGGAGTCAAAGGAACAGAAGATGATAATTGACATTGCATTTAAATTTTTAAAGATGAATGTTGACATGTAAGAAAGAATCCGGAAGAGGGTTCCACAAGCAAGAAGTGCAAGAGAAGAAACTATTAGCATAGAACTTACGGTTACATATATCCATTTTAACTGTTAGATGAGGTGAAGTTGTCACGAATCTAGAAGTACATTTAAATTCATAAAGTCTAAGTACCAAAGAGGAAAGCTTATCAAACAATCACCATGAAAATACAGAAAAGCTACGGAGAACCTACATTAAGGGGTTGAGAAAGTGACCGAAGCCGAGATGCCAGCTTAGGACCAATAACATTGCAGATTCTTTATATTTTATCTCTTCTCTTCTTGTAACGGCATTCACCCGGGGTGGGTTGAGCCGGCTCCAATATTAGAGTTTCATGGGAATTTGGGATCCACAAGCGGTCCCCAAATCCGCATGTATAGCACATGGGATTTGATTATAGTGGTGAAGGTTTCGTGCAGGACCATCCACACTTTTTGAAGGGCGATTTATATTTTATCAAGAATTCCTGAATAGAAAGCAGGAGCACCAAATGCGACAGCGACATTTAATGTAACAAAGGAAAGCGAGAAGGCAGGTTGACACCCGATTTTGGGGCCAAGGAGACATCTCCGTTGGTCGCCGATCGCTTTCAGCCGGCCAAGATCCAACAGAATTACAACAGTCGTGGAAAGGCCTGAGCCTCAAAACATCATTGTTGGATACAAGAATGCAGGTTCACGAACATCTGCCTGATCTATTTTGTATAGGACCGCATGGGATTTGCCAATTTATCCAGATTGGAAATGAAGGATCAGTAATCTCCCCGCATCCCTTGATTGTAGTAACCATCATTGCAATTAATATCTGTTTCCCACGGGTTCTACGAGGTTTACTAAGAGTCGGGCGTTGATATCCGATGCTGGAGACATGGACGATGTTGAAGATATCTCTGTTGGTCGTCGATTGCTTTCAACTGACCGAAATCCAACCGAATTACGAGAGTCGTGGCAAATCCTAAGCCTCTTGATATCTTTGTTGGATACAGGAATCCAGGGAGATTCTTTTTTTCTCACACAAACATCTGCCTGATCTATTTTGTATCGGACCGAAAAGGATTTGCCTATTTCTCCAGTTTGGAAATAACAGATCACCAATCTGCGAGGTTTCAAAAGACTCGAGCGGTTGTTGCCTATTTGTGTCGGTACATTGAAGATTGTTTTCAGGTGGGTAAGGTCCATCCTCGAACGTAACGTGACTGTATTCTTCGAAGCCAATATTGTAGAAACGGTTTTCTGGATACGAAATGATATCAGTCACCATAGGTTACACCCGAGTGTTCCACTGTCGGCCGGTTTGATTTGAAGGCTCGGATTTTCTGTTTTTTCTTTCAGATGATGGTTTCTGCATTTATACCTAAGTTGACCGTCTGGAATCGCTTGTCCCATCCCGGAACCTTAATAAGAATTTGAATTTCGGACTTGTACCTTCATATCTGGATGTTTCAGACAGACTTGACGCTAGGAAATCCTCGCGAGAACATGTCTGATAGCGAGGAAAATCAATGGTTGCCCGACAGAATTACGACATTGTTGACAAACTCTGAGCCTCAAAAGACCTTTGTTGGATACAGGATTCCAAGATTTTTTTTTTTTTTGACACGGACATCTGCCTGATCTATTTCGTATCTGACCGCATGGGATTTGCCTATTTCTGCAGTTTGGAAATGAAGGATCAGTAATCTCCCCGCACCTTTTGATTGTAGCAACCATCATCGAAGTTAATATCTGTTTTCCACGGGTTCTACGAGATTGCATAAAAGTCGGTAGATTATAGCCTCTTTGTGTTGCTACATTGAAATATAATGAAAAAAAAGACAATACCTAGAAGAAGACAATATTTGGTCGCCACCAAGGGCTGCACTCAAAGGTGTGATATTTGAATTGGAGACATCAACATCAACTGGGTATATAAAATTAACAATCCGAGTAGTATAGTAAAAGACAACGGAAAATGTGGCACTGAGATCTGAAGTTACATGAGAAATACGAAAGATGCCTTTCAGAAACTAAGCAAAGTTTTAAGACATAGGAATATTTCTTTAGAAACAAATCAAGAGAAATAGTGCTGAAATGCTATGTGGTATCTCTCTTTTCGTATGAGAGTGAGGTGCTGAAGTATTTTCTTACAAATTAAAAAGTAACTCGAAGTGATAAAATTTTTGTTCTACAGCAGGATACTGAGAATACCATGATCAGAACACAGGAGCAACGAGGAAGTTTTAAAGAAAACGGGAACAAAAAGGACTATACGTTTTTATTAATCAATTCACTCCAAGCAAGGTGATAGTGCCAATAGGATACAAGGGGCTGCTGGGAGCGAAAGTGAATGAAAAAATATGAGAGAATGAAAGAACCGGAAACACACTCCTAAACAGGAAACAAGGTTAAAACACTACCCCTGTTCAAAAAACCGGGAACGGTGTGAGCCGGACTATAGGCGAACCTATCTACTCACCAGAAAAGATACTGTTGATAAATTTCCGGGATATGTTATGAGGAAAAAGGTCTTGGAAAATTTAACACTCACAGGAGATGTTGAGAGGAGGAGGTGTAGAAGGAAACAGTGGATGCCAGAGCAGGGAAAACGAAGAGTCAAACTTTGCTTAAAGCTATAAAGGATAGGAAGTTGTGGAGAGACATGATCGCTTACTTCCTGAAGGAACATAACACATAAGTGATGATGAAAAAAATACGCAATCCTTTTGGAAATCCTGGCGATAGACCAAGCAAAATTATTCACTCACCTGAAAAAAATTCGTTGCCTGTACGTAGCCATTGTCCAGTCCTGGCCCAAGAGCGTAGCATTCATTATGGGGTCTTTCTTCTACATTAGCGATAGCTCTATGGAGCGTATAGAACAGCATCTCCATTCCGGGTACCGGATCATCATTATTCGCGACGGAATTATTACTGATAAGGGATTGATCGTATTGGTCCAAGCACATGGGAGCTTCACAGATTTCTCTGCAGCCAGAGTAACACGTGTCTGGAGCTTGACACGGGTTTGCGTTTGGTCGGAACGGTTTTTCTATTAACTGAGCCGGGTAGAAATCCCGATGGTCAGAAGCTGGGGAAGGCATGTTTTTGCGAGTTTCGAAATTGGCGCCTGCTACGTTAGCTTTGGACGAGTAGTCAGAGTGTCGCTTACACCAGGGGACGCCTTCGTCTTCTCCATAGTTAATATCATTAATCACCAGGCTACCAGCTGGAGAAAGATTTTCAGGATTATCGCTGCGATAACCGTGGACTTCGTTCAGGGCTGCTTCGCTTGTTGACGGTAGTTCTTCCATTTCCATCAGCGAGGAAAAGTCAGTGGCATCCGACCGATCATAGTATTGTGCATAGAGGTTCTTGTCGGACGAGAGCGATGATGGATCAGATGGAGCTGTCTGACGCTGAAAGCCGTCGTCGGTGTCCGTCAGGGACAATTCGTTCAGACCACAAGCATATGATTGATATTGACGCATAGAAGATCGAAAACCTAACGGTTGTTGTCTATGTTTGGGCCTCTGAAAGAATCTATCACTTGGTTTTTGGCAGTAGAACAAAGAGTCCCTGGTGAAATTGGTGGGACTTTCTGGGTTGTAAGTGATATGTTCTGGTACGTAAATATCAGCTGTTAACTGAGCTGGGCTACTATTAAACTGTATAGGCGAAGACGTGCTACCCTCTGTGAAAAGACTGTTCACACTGCTGTAATGAGGGCGGCTCTCACCGAGAGTTTCAGGGTAATATGGGTAACGACGATGATGAAAATCGATTTGTTCACTATAAAATCGACGTCTGTGGTTGAAATCTATATCTTTTTCAGAATCATCTTTTTCTTTACCCCTGCTATTTATACTGACATTAGATTTACCGACATTATCTGACGCTGTTGTGTGACTAGAATCCCGTCCGCCAAAACTCGTAGACAGAAACTGTGAGTCTTCATCAGTTTTTGCTGCCTCGTGGTACCCACCACTAGACAAAAATTCCATTTCGGAAGTCTCGTCATGGGAATCTTCAGTTTTGATCTGTGCGTTCGTCTCTTCGTACGGTTTTATGATAGCCTGAAGCAAACCTCCATTCCCAAATTGGCAAACCCGAGGCAGAAAGTTTCTTACTTTATTTTGGGTCCAGTTGTTGTACGAAACAGGAGAAGATCGAGGCATCACATAACTACATCCCTCGTCCGTCGGTGTCGATTGGCTATTGTACGGGCATCCAGTGTAAATCGACGACTTTGATGCCGAAAGACGATGATAAGGAACAAAGTCGTATCTGCTTTCGGAACTCTCCGACGCCGGCCGATATGCTGCCGGCTGTCTCGTACAAGGCGGACTTTCATTACGACCTTCTGGACGATTACGATTCTGAGCCGGCCGCATGTATGTTTGCTCTTTCTGCAACTGGTGGATTCGTTGTCTTTGAAGGAATTGCTCTGTGTATTCTTGTAATTGTCCGTAATGAGCTTGCAACAGTTGCTGTCGGGGATTGGAAACGTCAGCGTTATCTGTGTTTATAGACGGCTGATGACCGTGTTGGGAACGGGTCATCGAACTGGGAGGATCGTGTCCGCCTAGTGTTGCTGGACGCTGCGGAGAAGACGACCTAGAATCAATAGCAATGCCACTGTCAATGGTTTCCATGGTTGACTGCCTGGGCGGTAACCCTTCTGTGTAATCGTTCAGCCAACTATGAACAAACCGCTGATTTTCAAGGTTATCTCCTCGGCGGGGTCTTTCAATGTTTCTCACCGTCACGGGAACATTTTTTGCTTCGTTTTCCTCTGTGTTTAAAACAATGGCGGGAGGATATGATTGATCAGTTGGAGCATTATGTATCCGTCGACTCGTCCTGATATCTTTGCCTGAAGCCCCACATTTTTGATGATCTCCCGGTAAAGAATAATTGTGAAGAACTAGAAGCTTGCTTTTCTTAACTGTTACACTGTTTCTCTTTCTGGCGATGGTTTCTGCATTTGTACCTCCGTTGACCGTCTGGACTCGCTTATCACGTCGCGGAGACTTAATAAGAATTTGAATTTCGGACTTGTATGTTTCAGTACCCTCAGATCTGGTTGTTTCAGACGGACTCGACGCTACGAAATCCCCGCGAGAAAACGTCTGATAGTGAGGAAAAAACAATGGCAACGAGCCGTTGATGTCCGATGCAGGTGACATGGATGACGTTGGAGACATCTCCGTTGGTCGTCCAACAGAATTATGGCATTGTTGACAAACCCTGAGCCTCAAAGGATCTTTGTTGGATACAGGAATCCATGGAGATTCTTTTTCCTGACACGAACATCTACCTGATCTATTTTGTATCGGACCGAATGGGATTTGCCTATTTCTCCAGTTTGGAAACGACGGATCACCAATCTGCGAGGTTTCATAAGACTCGAGCGGTTGTTGCCTATTTGGGTCGGTACATTGAAGATTGTTTTCAGGTGGGTAAGGTCCATCCTCGAACTTAACCTGATTGTATTCTTCGAAGCCAATACTGTAGAAATGGTTTTCTGGATACAAAATGATATCAGTCTCAAGGTCACCATAGGTTACACCCGAGTGTTCCACTATCGGCCGGTTTGATTTGAAGGCTTGGGTTTTCTGTTTTTTTAGAACCCAAGGTGTAACTCTGCCGCTGGGTGCTGTTGTGCAATATCGGTTCGAAAAGTCTAATTGTTCGTTTGACTTGTACGTATTCCTTGGCATTGAGACTGAGGAGGAATCACTGTCTTCCGAGCAGAACTGCCTACTGATTGGTGACTTAGGGCGGCAAGTCTGCTCTCCGACGAATTTATCTTTCTTTCTATTTTCATGTCTTTTTTTCTGGCTGTCATGTTCTTTGTATCTTCTCGTCTGGACGAATTCATCGTAAGAAATCTGTTTGCGATCGAAGAAGCGCCGGCGCGGTTGGGGTCTGTGCACAGGGCTGTGACTCTCGCAGCTGACTGAAGAGCTTCTCTTTAAGCACAGCGAACTGAAACATTGTTTATTTTTTATCATCGAGTCCTTGTGACGCCTTGCTAAAGGGTATGACAAAAACAACTCATCGGAAAAAGAATCGTGAGAAACGTCCGACGTGTTTGTCGACGTTAATTTTGGAGGAAGCTGCTTAACGCTGCTGAAGGCACTTCGTTTGGATTTTATACCATTCTTAAGAATGGATTTCGGAATGCGTTCCAATTGACATTGCAAAGGCGCCGTTACCCGTCGCGGAAAGCAATCAGGTCTTTTTTTAACTTTTGACTTATTTTCATTTTCTCTCTCTTCTTCGTCTTTTTGTTCATCTTCTTCTCCATTTTCCTCTTCATCATCATCATCTTCATCATCATCATCATCATCTTCATCATCATCATCATCATCATCATCATCATCTTCCTCTTCTTCCTCTTCTTCTTCTTCGTCATCCTCCTCATCCTCTTCAGTTCCTCCCCTTCCCTCTCCTTCTGCTTGATTTTCATATTCTCCTTCCTCTTCTTGCTCCTCATAACCTTCTTCTTCTTCTTCTTCTTCTTCTTCTTCTTCTTCTTCTTCGTTGTCTTTTTCCTCTTCTTCCGATAATTCTTTTTGAAGAATTTCGTTTCCATTCACGTTGTTCGCATAAGTAGAGACATATTGTCCGTCGTGATCTTTGACTTTGGAAATGCCCTTCCGGGTATTTTCCACCTGTCTTCTCCTCCTCCGCCTGAAGTATATGTCACCAGCAACATTCCCTTTGTTTTCACAGTCGCTTCTGAAACCTGCATCAAAATATACACCACTGCTATTGTCATCTTCAGATGCGAGAGGACAAGGCGATGAACCCGGAGTAAGGTATTCAAGATTAGATTCCGAATTAGTATCAACTTTAAGATGATTAAACCGACAGTCAGTTAATCGTGTATGGTCAGCATGATTACGGCCTGAAAGCAAATCACTAATCGATTCCTCTTTTGTTTTTGGTAAGTCCTGGGATTTTAGCGACTTTGTTTGGCGAAAGTTTATAGCTATATCGTCATCATCCAGTTCTTCTTGTGCATCTTCTTCGTATGTCTTGAAGCTCAAACTGGAAGAGCGTGAACGCTTCTGGATACCATCTTGGAAAACTTTTAGCGCCAGAGATACGGTCGGCGATGTATTCAAAATTTGTTCGTCTAATTTATCTGAAAACGGCCACTCGTTCGAAGGCTCTGAATTGTTTTCTTCCACCTTAAGGACCCTAGGAATTAATGTCCTACGTAATATCCGTTTCTTTCGGATAGTGATTTTTTTATCGTTGTCTATCACAGTCCAGGAAGGGTCCAACGAAAAGCTTCTTTTGAAGGTGGAACGAGAATCTTGGTATGTTAGAGTCGGGTGAGTGATCAACACGCGAAATGGACTACCATCGACATCCTGTTCATGAATTCGGACACGGACGTAATGAAATCCCGAATTTCTGGGCACGTAACTGACCAACGCTTTACCATCGGGACGGATATTGTAATCAAAAGGAAGCATTTCGAAAGCCGAATAAGTCCCGATGCTTTCGTCACTGTCCTTACTATCGCCGGATTTTAACTTATTGATCCCGTACTGCAAGCTATCTTGAAGATCTGTTATTACAGTATTACTCTTGACGGCCGTCTGGTCCGAAGAAGATTCCGAAGGCCGTGTTGTTGGGGCTAGAATGTTGATTTTTAAGTAGAGGGGATATTTCTTCGGTAAAGAAATGGTAAATTCTGCTTTTCGTCCGACAGTGCCATGTAAAATTCCTTTGCCGCTGACGACACACTTCCGGTGTGAAAGTGTGGTCAGCATTTCGATCGAGCGACTGTCTTTCGATGTTGGTCCGTACTGCAAATATTCGGCCGCAAGTTTGACAGTGTGGACCAATCTGTAGATGTTGTCAGCGCCATTGAATTCGTCTGCGATTGCAATCTCTTCCGCAGAGATCATAGACTAGAAAAAGCAAATAAAATAAGAAAGAATAGCAACAAAAAATTAATAAAATGAAAAAGGAAAATAATCAAACGTTATATATATATATATATATATATATATATATATACAATTTACCCGAATAAAAAAAATCAAATTAATTATCTATTATAAAAAATTTAAGATTGCTAACCTTATCCGCAAAAATAACAATACACCACTTAAGTCAAAATTACAAAGAACGAACATTATCTATGAGTTCAAATGCCCCTTAAAGAACTGTGTTCCTGATCGAACCGGACTCCTAAATAATTACATCGGTTACACTACATGCTTATCCAGACGGCTTACGTTACACCTATCTGATCACAGCTCCATTAGAACCCATTTAAACACACACACAAATTTACCAGGCTCAATTAGAAACATATTAGTAGAAAACACAAATATAATAACTTCATCCACTTGTAAAAAAAAATTAAAAATAATGAAAGCTTTAATAATAAAAAAAAGCCAACTCTTAACAATATTAACTACGAACAAGGGCATATATATATATATATATATCCAAAATGTAAAAAGAACGAAGAGTAAGATTTCAGCGTTCAAAACATTAATTTGAAACAGGACTCAATACAAAAGTATATATATATATATATATATATATATATATATATATATATATATATATATATATATATATAATGTTAAAAATATAGTTTTAAGGTATGCTATATTTGATAAGTTGATAAGATAGTGAGGGTCACAATGATCTCCAGGGACCCCAATCAGGCTTACCACACTCGCTCTGGAGGTCAGTGAGAGTATGAACCGTCCTGGGTCAACAGCAAGCGGTGTCAGTCTTTTTTTATGCTTCAAAGAAATCATGACCTGAAGATTGCATTGAATTACAAAAACAGAATGTTGTCGCTTGGTGTTGACTATATATATATATATATATATATATAAAAGACAAAACTTTTCTTTTGCGTTTCGTTCCTTGAGGAACATTATCAAGGTAAATGTGGAGATTTATTTCGTAACTTGTATTTTTACACAGCAGTAACGTGTAGGAGATTATCGTAAGGTTTGCAGACTTGAATTTAAATAATCTTAAAGGTTGCTGTTCAAGGAAATGTAACCTATGGGGGACCCTAAGTGATGAAATTTATTCTCTAATAAACGAAAGTGAGTTGTCGTTGAATTTTTATATTATTTATATTTATAATACTTCCAAATTTCAATTATTTTTTTTCTTTAACAAATCACGTGGAATGAGCATATTTTGTTTTGGTTTCCGTAGGGGGATCAATTTTCATTGAATATCAAACTAGACTCTTCCAGTAACTTTTATAACATTTAATAAAAAAATTGATATGCATGGTCTGGAATGTTTAACCTATAGTAATATGAAAAAAAAGAAACAAAAAAAGAAAACAAAAGAAACATTTGGTCGTATTGCCTATTTTGCAACACCATCCAAGTTTTCGATTGAATCAATTTCTAGAAAGGTGCTCTGGACCATTCTATTAATCTGGTGTCTTTTGGTAAGGTTGTAACCTGTACCATGGACAAAATCCTTTATCCAAGAACTTACAATAATTCTTTGCATTTATCTTCATACCATCAGCATCAGCTGAGGTACGGTGGATTAAGCGGCTCGAATGAAGGCAGAGGGGAGCCGAGTTCGAAATTCGAGTCGAGTTCATTTCCTATTTCGGCATTCAACCCGGTCGTTTGAATCGTTTCGTCAAACGACCCCTCCGCATCAGAAAGAAAGCTAAACAATATGGGACGTATTCATCCATAATTGGACTTTCTGTGCATTCACAAGCGGTCGTCGTATGTATACATGCTTTTAGGATAATGTGATCCGATTTGAATTCAGAGTTTTCTTCTCCTAGACAGGTCTCCACTCTGTCCTGCTATTTTACCCATAGCTGGCGGAGAAGAGATGGGTTCATACCTTTCCCATCTTCACCTAATTTACACGTTTCTATTCACATTCGGATAAATGTTTTTATTACTACAACGTTTCGACTGATTTGCTCTTTGATCTTCTTCACGGAATTTCGGAATCCTTTATTTAATTTACAGTGGTGAATTGTTCTTCTTCCGCTGTCCATGTCTAGAGACATCTTGTTTTGTTCTTATTTAGCACTGAATATTTATTGCGTGTCCTGTTTCCATCTAAATCTGTACTAAACGTCCCAGGGATTGAACTCACGGATCATTGCTTTAATCCATACGACTATGGCGGCATAGTAATTCATGGGCTGAAACAAAGCGGTTCGTGTCGATCCTGAAAAAGGAATATGCAGACTGTTTTGGAAAGCGAAGAGGACGTTGGGATAGGTAATGGAAGTACATTAACAGGCGGACAATAGTCGATAGTAGGCGGTAGTCAATAGTAGATAAATAAACTTAATAAAAAAAAGTGTATATTTGCCTTTTTTTTAATACTTACGTTCGGGATATTAAAATATTGGTTGGCCAGCCGAAGTGCCAGGCGACAATTGTTGACGCGGCAATGGTTCTGTAGAAAGCTGTAATGAGGACAAACCCCCGGGCAAATAGCCTCCAGCAAGGCACAGAGCGCAATTCCATCGTTCCAGCAGTTGTGAAAATTAGTAATGTCATACTGTGGTAAGATATTTTGCAGCCACCTGAGGAGTTTCCTTTTAAGCTGCTGGTCTGAAAAATAAATCAACACAATATATATATTTGTCTGAATTACTAAAATGAGGAATTATCATTATTACACTATTTATATTCGGAATATTGTCTTCATTTTCGTTGTTATTATCACCTGATCGCCTTCTGTTTGAAGGCGATCAGGTGATAATTCTGTTTGCTCAATCGGCGATCGAAAGCTGTTTGTTCAATCGGTGAATCGGCGATCGAAAGCATAAGCATTTAATATTATTATTATAAATTTTAGGTCTACTATTTTACATCAAGCAGTTTTATTACCACCAGCACTTAGTCTGCGCTATATATATATATATATATATATATATATATATATATATATATATATATATGGTTAGTGAATATGCGAGAATAGAAAAGTCCAGAGCAGATAACATTAGAATGATTTTAGAGTTCCATGAAAATAAGTGGATAAAACGTTTAAAAACGCACTATCCAGCCAGGCTTAACCATAAATTTAACAATATAGGTAGTATTAATATATAACCCTACAAATCAAAACCTACCCATATCTCACCCACACAAGACAGACATGCTTACGGAGGGGTTGCGGCCTCACACTTATACACCGCCCCACACGAATATACACACATACACACATACTCACTCACTCCCTAATGATCCAAATGATAACACACACCCATAGTAATATATACGCTTACACACATCATACTCACACACTCGCTAAGAACCAAATAATACACACGCAAACTTAACAGAGACACATCCCCTTTCCAGGAACCAATAAAACTGTCAAAATGACCAAGGGAATTTAGAGCAGCATGAATCCATCCAGCTCTTATCTCAAATAACAACTTAAAAGATACTGTTTGACCAACACAAGGACTAACCAAAATTTATGGTAAAAAAAAAAAAATAAAAAAACAAATGAAAACTAGGGACAAAAGTTCATTTTCTCCATCAAGACATTCATTTCTGTAGTTCACTGCTACCAGCAAGCAATTTAATTAAACACAACTGACAAGGTATTGTGATTAAGCTTTTTATTTAATTTTTCTTGTGTTCGTATGAGTGTTTTCTTTTCTGGACATAACATGTGTAAAAACTGTCCAAATATTCTATATATCCAAGCGCTTTCGGTTGTTCTATTCACCATTATCAATGATGGTTTTTGTTTTGTTAACTGAATATGTAGACTTTTGTGTGTGTGTGTGTGTGTGTGTGTGTGTGTGTGTGTGTGTGTGTGTGTGTGTGTGTGTGTGTGTGTCATAAGAATTTTTTAGTTTCTAAACACGGCTCAACATCGCTTAATTAGGACCCATTTAAAGACAGGCAGAAACCGACCAAACTTCGCCCGTAATATATTTGCAGAAAATATAACTACAATAGCCTCATCCACATTTTAAAAAAAGGCTAAAAATAAAGGAAGCATTAATAATAAAAAAGAAAAAAAAACAATTCTCAAAAATAACGATAATGAACACGGCCACAATGTGCTGATAGTGATTGTAAAAAAATTCCGTCACTATAGATACACATACATAAAAATCTACATATCCAGATAAGAAAAAAAATTCTTTTTAAGGGCTAATGCAATAACCTAAACCACTTAGATATATCGGTCTCATCGTTTCTACTGAAATATCTAGATGGAACCGTAAGTTCTATTCTAATAGTTTCTTCTCTCGCATTTCTCGCGTGTGTAACTCTCTTCCGACTTCTTGCTACAGTCTTCAAAAATGTAAATGCAACATCAATCGTCATCTTCGGTTACCTTGAATACTGTTCTTTTATTGTCCCTCTCTGTTTATTTCACACTCAGTAACCCCCTTGCGTCTTAGCGGCTTTCTCACCTTGCTTAGGGGTGAAATGTTTAAAGACTGTTCTGCATATAGAAGTCGTATTCTATCGGTGACGTTTCTCTTTCCTATGTCTTATAGTTCTTTTCTTACCGATTTTCGACTTATTTTTATAGTAAATCACTTATAATGCATTTCTTCAATAAAAAATATCAATTTACTTCTATAATAAATAATCTACAATGTAGGATTATTTACAATGCATTTATTATTATTATTTAGTCGAGTTCGCTCGGACATTCGTAAGTCTATTACATCAACTATTATCCTGTATCAAGATCGGAAGGACATTACGGTGGCATTCTGTGTCATAACATAGCTGGTTAAAGTAGGTGGTTACTGGGCGACCAACCTATCTTACTTCATGTCCAGGGCAGTAGATCACTCACAGGTTCTTGTTTAGCTCGCTAGCAAAGAGCATTCTGTGTTCGCGTAAGATTCTAGAAATATTAGGGATGGGTACATAGTGCTGTGATTTAGTTGGATGTTGGTCTCCAAGAGACGTTAACTATTTTCCTGGCTTTAGCTATACGAATTTCACATCCTTTTCAGTAACTTTTTTTTTTCGCTTCTTAAGGATGTAAAATTTACATACATAGGAAGCGAAATGCATTTATATTATACGTATATTAGCCATATTCTATTAGTAAAGTGTGTTTTAATACTTTACCACTGGCATTCTTTTTCTTCCTGATTTTAAATGTATTCCATAGTAACACGAGTTAGAATTTATTTCTGCAATAAAATTATTTGCTATGCATCACTATAGAAAATCACAAACAGGATCTTTAAACTATACATATAATAGCTATTTCATGACAACACCAAGAAAACACCGGGGAACTCCGCTCCAAAGCCGTGACATCGAGTTTCATGCTAAAGCGACCTTCAGACGAAAAATAGTTACCGTATTTTCCGGTTTACAAGACACTGCTGCTTGGAAGACGCACCTGAATATTGGAAAGAAATTTCTAAGGAAAAAAAAGTCATTCTCGGACAACACATTCACCATGCGTCTCTCACATACTGGCGCCACGTATTATTTACATTAATCACTCGTCCGATTTTGTTTGTATGGCAATGACATACTAATCAAGAGCAAAAAGGCTCCCGCTGCTGCTCGTAAACAGAGCATGTTTAAGCTTGTGGCTCGGCTCCAGGAAGGTTTATAGTCTTAGAAATACTTGTAACAGCTAAGTACTAAGCTTACATCATATAAAAGGCTGAATTAGATAGGTAGCTAACATAGTGTAATGACTCAACATATAAATCCACGTCCCTATCAGTCAAGATAATTAGGTGACCGTCCAAGCTTACATGAACCTGGGCGTTGCCTTACATTGGTTTTGGAAGACGCGCATGAATTTTTAGGGTATTTTTAAGAAAAAAAGTGCGTCTTGTAAGCTGGAAAATATGGTATTTATGTCAGTAATCTTAATTTCTCATCAATGAAAATCTATTTTTTACTGATTTACTGATTTTCAGCCTATTTTCCAAAGTAAAATTTTTCGCAATGCGATTCTACAGTAAAATTATTTTCAATACATTTCTCTAATAAAGTCATGATTTAATATAGTAAAACAATTAAACCCGTAAATGTCAATATAAACAAACGAACAGGCAGATTCGTAAACAAGTGGTTAAATTTAATAGGTTGTCTTACCGGAAGCGAAAATATCACAGAATTGTTCATAAAATCCAGGCCGATAGAGTTGGGTGCCATTGCAGTCCACGGCCGATAATCTTTGTTGTCGCTCAAGAATGGTGAAAACTGGACTGTATCGCTGAATATAACATAAATAGAAGAAGACGGTATGAAAGATCAGACGGATGCTGCACACAATCTGAACACAGACGGCCCAGGTCGCCCCTGAAAAAGAAAAGAAACAATTTCTATTTACATCCGAATAATTTTTTTTTTATTACTACAACGTTTCGACCGATATGCTCTCTGACATTCTTCACCGAGTTTCAGAATCCTTTATTTAATTTACGGTAGTGGATTGTTCTTATTCCGCTGTTTATCTTGTCTTGTTCTTATTTAGGAATGTATAGTTATTGCGCAACATGTTTCCACTGAATCTAAATCTGTAATAAACGTCCTAGGGATTGAACCCCCGAACTATTGCTTTAATCCACACATGACTATTGACCAGTAGTTCATGGGCTGAAATAAGGTAGTTCGTGGCGATCCTGAAAAAGGAATTTGCAGACTGTTTTGGAAAGCGGAGAAGATAAGTATGTAAGTTCCCAAGGGGCTTACATTACTGGGCGGACAGTTATAGATAATAGTAAGCATCAGGCAATAGTATATAAATAAACTTAGCAAAAAAAAAAAAAAAAACAGTGTATATTTGCCTCTTTTTTTTTTAATACTTACGTTGCGGATATTAAAATACTGATTGACCAGCGGAAGTGCCTGGTGACAATTGTTGACGCGGCAAGAAAAGAAAAAAATTGTCATATTTGCTCACCTCAAGAAAGAAAATAAAAAAAATCTTATCATTTCAGTAAATGTTTTACAATATTCCCGCATTTTTTTTTTGTTCCGGTTATCCGCGGTCAAATGTTAGAAAATGTTTGACAGCCGATAATCATAATGTTTATTTAATAATATTCCCCGAGACTCAAACAGAAATACTAATACAGTGTGATGCATGCCTATGTTTTATAGATTATGCAAAAGCGTTTGATAAAGTACGTCACAGAAAACTATTGGAACTTCTTAGTACTCTTGTCATATTTGGAAAGGATATTAGAATAACTAAGAACCTATAATAGCAGCAAACAGCCTGCATGCGAATAGAAAATAAGTTCAGCAAATATACAAAAATAGAAAGAGGTGTCAGAGAAAGATGTGTCGTCTAACCGGACTTATTCATCATATACAGTAGCATTAAGGAGACATGCGCACTAAGTGGGATAATGATGTGTATGTGTATCTCCCTATGAACACAACGGCTGATACCAAACAACTCCCCACTTAGTAAAAATGTACCGTCGAATAATGAATGTATACTGAGATTAATAATTGGTACAGTATATACTTGTTAGTTTAATCCACAAACGTGCTCCATTACTGTGGCCTTATGTCAGCCTAAGTTAAAATTCGAAATTATTTGTATTACTGCTTCAGAGCGTTGATTTGCAAGCTAGTTTTGGAATTATTTACTTAAGAGTAAGATGTAGGAATCTTTACTTTATACTTCCTAGTCTAACATTCTTAACCAGTAAGCCTCTACCTTGAGTGGTTATTGTGCCTTGTATTGAGTAAACTTTGTTTTTTTTTTAAAACTCTTTACTCAGGAAGATCTTTTCGGGAAACTGAATAAATATAGACACGTGATAATCTTAATGTTATCAAATTTTGGAACAGACACTAAAAATAAATCATAAATAAAACACAAAACATGAATGTGATATTTAAACGGAGTGTGCTGAACAGGTGTTGCCTATTAGGCTAAAGCGTTTGATAAAGTGCGTCATAATTTCTGTTGGAACAACTATGTAACCATGTAACCTATTTTTGTGATATCAACGAACACTCGTTTGACACTTTTGTGATGTCAACGAATACTCGTTGCCACTTTCGTAATGCTCATTGTAGTAGAGACTTTGTAATCGCAGTTACAACTATAGTAACGCCGATGAACAATACTGGTGTCATACGCCTTCGAATATCACTCGCTCTAATAAAAGTGAATTCAGTAAATATACAAAAATAGAAATGAGTGTAAAAAAAAGGGTGTGTCTTCTCACCGGATATTCACCCTAGACAGTGAGGCGTGAATTCGAAGTCCTGCCAGGATTCATTATTGGCGCTCACAATCTTAACAGCATTAGATAATTTAGATGACACAGTGTTGATAGCAGACATAGAAAGGAAACTAGAAGACCCCCCCGACAGAAGTGAGAAGAAAAGACTAAACATCAATTGCAAGAAGACAGAATGTGCGGTTGTCAACAAAAGACAGAAAAGGCGACACTGAAATCCAGAGGCACATTTGAAATTGTAAATGATGCCTTTCAAAAGTTGAGCAAAGTATTAAGAAACAGGAAAAATGCAGTGGCTTCTACAAAATGTAGTAAATGAAAGCCAGAAGAAAGGACTAAAAATCAATTGCAAAAAGACAGAATGTATGGTTGTCAGCAAAAGGGTCAGCCCAACATGCCAATTACAAATTGGGGATGACAAAATCAATCAAGTACAAAATTTTAAATAACTAGGAAGTGTTTTAACAGAAGACGGAGAGTGCGGCACGGAAATCCGAAAACGCATCGGAATAGCGAAAGATGCCTTTCAAAAGCTAAGCAAAGTATTAGGAAAGAGGAAATTTCGTTAAAGAGCGCTGAACTATTTTCCTTTTATATGGCAGTGAATGATGTACAATCTCAATAAATGAAGAAGAGTCCTGTGTCAACAAAATTGTGAGCAACGACGTAGTGGTAGCGAAAATAGTGACAAAAAGGACACATATATTTAGAATCAGAAAGAGACTGTTGAAATTTACAAGTCATACAATGAGGAAAGAAGGCTTGGACAATTTCATACCCACAGGACATATTGAAGGCAAGAGGGAGAGAGGAAAACAGTGTACAACCTACCTAACGAATTTGTGTAAGAGGTATAGGAATGATAGAAAAAAAGACAAATTTACTAAGAGCTACAAATGACAGGGAATTATGGAGAGCCATAATCGCCAATATCGTGAAGGGATTTGACACACGGAGAATGAAGGCTGCGAATTTCAACATGCAAAATAGAAGCCGTATTGTGCTTTTTGTTGTTGTTGTTGTTGTTGTTTTTTTGAGTGAATGGCGGATGTTATCAACGTACGAAAAGAAAACAACCGTATCCTGCGGATATTACGAGTTTTAATTAGAACAAATCTCTTATTATCATAACATATATAAAAGAGAATACAGTTTATAAAAAGTATAATTGTTCTATTTTATTATTAGTTATTGTAGTTAATCACTTATTATGTCTAATACGATTTACGGTAAGAATGAATTTTCTATCCGTCACATAACTTTTATTAGTCTATTGTTATAATTATTTTATTTTATTATTAGTTACTGTTGTTAATCTCTTAATGTGCCTAATAAGATCTACGGTAAGAACGAATCTTCTATCCGTCACATAACTTTTATAAGTCTATTGATATAAATTTTTATTTTATTATTAGCTATTGTTGTTAATCTCTTATTGTGCCTAATAAAATCTACAATAAGAACGAATCTTCATTTTATTATTAGTCATTGTTGTTAATCTCTTATTATGCTTAATAAGATCTACGGTAAGAATGAATCTTCTATCCATCATAGAACATTTATTACTGTATATTTTTTATAATTGTTCTATTTATTATTAATTTTTGTTAATAATCTTTTAGATTTTATTTCCACAGGTGATCCTCTGGCGATATCACTGAGAACATGCAGGGCGGGGTCATAGCATAGGAAGTCTAGCTATAAGCACACGTATCCATGAGACCGCTGCGAATAGACACACCTTAGAGCTATGGACACCATTTCGTCTGCCAATCCTGTTCTTGTCGAGCATTTGTATTACATGGCCGTCCAGAACCTGGTCTACAGGTATAGTCATGTTTGTTTTACCACTTCTCTTCCGGCTTCCCATTTTCCTGTTAACTACGATCTTCAAAAATTTAAACGCATCGTCAATCGTCATCTGTCTTTCTGAATCCTGTTCTTTTATTATCCTTTCTCTTCAATAATGGTTTCTCAGTTGTTGTTTTTTTTCACACTCAGTATACTATTCTTTTGTTAGTGGCTTTATTGCCTTGCACGTGGTGAATCTTTCTAATCATTTCGCTCCAAGCAAGGTGATAAAGCCACTAAGACGCTAGGTGATTACTGAGAATGAAAGTATTCGTGAAAAATTATTAAAGAGAGAGGTCAATAAACGAACGGGATCCAAGGAGACAGAAGATAACGATTGGTATTGCATTTAAATTTCCTAAGATCAATGTTAACTGAAAAGTAAGAAGCCGGAAGAAAGTTCCACAATCAAGAAGTGTGAGAGAGAGAGAGAGAGAGAGAGAGAGAGAGAGAGAGAAATAGCATAGAATTTATGGTTACACCTAGATTTTCAACTGTAAAATGATGAGACCTAACTGCCAATCTAGTACTAAGCTTAAATTCGTGACGTCTAGGTACCAAAGAAAAAAATCTCATCAGAAAAATTACCTTGTAAATATTTATATAAAAATCACAGGGAATCTACGTTACGGTGGTAGGAAATGCCAGGTTAGGACTGATAACATTGCAGATTCTTCTTTGGATTTTGTCAAGAATCTCTAGATGCATAGTCAGATGTGACAGCAATATTCAATGCATGGACGAATAGTAGATTTATAAAGGTGCCATAATCTATTTTCTTCTTCTATGTGTCATGTCTCTTCAGTACATTGGTGGTCACGTCTCTCCACAATTTCCCACTACTTTGTAACTTTTAATAAATTTTCTCTTTTAGCTCTCCTAAACCTTCTTCTGTCATCCATTAATTCAAACTCGATAGGTAGGTTATGCTTCTTCCAGGGTAAAACAACGCCTTGTCTTCAATCTGTCTTTTGATTATCAAATACTCCAAATCCTATTTACTTATAAGGTTCCCTAGAAATTTCAACTGCCACTTCATGATGTTAGATATGTGTCCTTTTTATTTCAATTTCTTCTAGAACTTCGTCGCTGCTCACATGTTCGGTTCCTGGTATTCTCAGCATCCTTCTGTAGAACCAAATTTCTGGTGTTTCAAGTCTTTTCTTCATCTGTGAGGAGATTGTCCAGCATTCACTGCCGTAAATGAGGATTGATATTACATAAGAGTTCAGTTCTCTTTTCTTTATTTCTAACGAAATTTTCCACTTCTTAATACTTATAATTTACGATTCATTTTCTTCTATGGGCAGTGTCCCTATAGGACGTTGTCGATCATGGTTCTCCACAATTTCCTGTCCTTTGTAGCTCTTACTAAATTTAGTCTTTTCGCTATCTTTCCTAATCCCTGTTTTGCCAACCATTTCTTCGCATTCGTTAGGTAGGTTAACATTGATTTACTCTGTACTTTTTGCCTTCAGTATGTCCTTGTGAGTGTCAAATTTACTAAGCTCCCTTTCCTCATTATTTGCCCTAGAAATTTCAACTGTCTCTTTCTGATGTTAAGTATAAATATCGTATTTGTTTCCATTTTCTTTAAAACTTCACCATTGCTCAAATGTTCAGTACATGGTATTCTCAATATCCTTCTGTAGAACCACATTTAAGGCATAAGTCGTGTTCTTCTGTAATGAGATTGTCCAGCATTTATTGTCATATAGGAAGACCGATGTTATATAACAGTTAAGTGCTCTTTTTCTATTTCTTAATACTTTGTTTAACTTTTGGAAGGCATCTTTCGCTATACCATTGTCTTCAGATTTCAGTGTTGCACTTTCCATC